TTGTATATATAGAGCCAAATTTGACAGAGCTTCGCCTACCTGTGGTCAAGTACCATAGTGGTTATCCAGTGCTGAAGTGTATCTTACCTGATTCTTTCTTTGTTGCTTTATGAAGGAGGGAAAAATCATCAGTTGGCATGCTGATAAAAAGCAGATCGAGCTTGAGATCCTTTCGCCATCAGCAGGACAATGTATGTACCCTGGGACACCAAATGCTTGTTGTCACATGCACCACTTGGAAAACAGCTAATCCAAGGCACACGTCATGTTTTAGGAGTATTTCCAATTTCCTTGAGTTCATCCTCAAAAGTCTGTTTAAGTGGAGAAGTTCAAACATTCGCTTGTTGTATTGAAGATGCTCATAGGTAATTTGTCCAGTCAGTGTGAGTGGTCAGTAACTTGTCTCTGTTGGGATTTTATTTCCTGAAAAAAAATTAAAATCATTATATGGAATTGCAGAGGAAATTGTAGATTATAATGGTGATGTCAGTGAAGCCACTGTCTTCAGTGGTTTTAGAACTGAGTCCCTGCAGTGACAAAGTACACTTCAGAGACTTAACCTGAATGTTTCTGAAACTGGATGTGAATACTGGAGTTGCCATTTAGCACAGAATTAATGAATTATCATCATTTGAGTATTTTTCTCAAATTTAGCAGTATATTGTTGATTAACTTCTTCATGCATGTGAGAGGGTTACCTGCATTTTGGTGTGTAGTGTTCAGTTCTACCTCACATTTTTTTTTACAGTTATGAACCCAAACCCCCAATTTAAGTAAAAAAAAAAAAAGTTTTGATTATCTTTCTAAATATGGAAAGCATTTAAACATTTTTGTTGAAAGTTAATGAAGTTGTTTGTTTGTTTTTTAAGATGCAAAAGAGCCAGGGAAATTCGATCTGGTTTACCAGTCTGCAGATGGAGCAGAACTGATTGAGTACGCTATTCCTCAGGATACAAAGGTACGTGGGTGTCCTGTTTTGAAGCCTGTTTCAAGTTTTGCACAGCTGGTACATGCCCTGCTTTATGACTCTGTTCATCTCAGTGAGGTTTCCTTTGTAAGAATACATCTGCTTAATAAATGAAAAGAAAAAGAATTGTTCCTTTCTAGCAAGAATGTTCATGACTACAAGATAAGAATCACTTCTGGGATGTTCCTCAAGTAACAAGGTTCAAAACCAGTTATCGAACTGTAACTTCTTGGTTTTGCTAGTAAAATAAACAGCATCACATCTAGGTAGAGTATCAGTTCGTACAAGGTTATTCAGTTCAGGCACTGGTTTCCTTACCTGCACCTCTCCTTATGAGGACATCAGTCAGGTTGAGGTTCATCAAAATCAATGAATCACAGGAAGGATCTTGTGATCTCTGTTCAGTTGTGCTGCCAGTCAAGTCTAGACAAAGAATAATGTAGGATGAATTGCATCTGCCTGTACAGCTTTTGTGTACTAAGTATTCTCTGTATTTTGTTTTCAGATAACTGAAAGGTGGGATGCACTGATAGAGCCACGACTGATTGTGGAGCCTCCAGTTAATGGATCCAGCATTGAAAATGGAACAATCTGAAATATGAACAAATGTAAATAATTGCCCGGACTGTCTTTGTGCCATGCAGCAGATGAACTGGTGGATATTTTTAATAAATGGTTCTAAAAAGAAACTATGCCAAAAGGAAAAGGAACACTTTTGTCTTGGGATATGTTTTTAACGTAATACAGGAATATTTTTTTCATTATAGGAAATCTTTAATATATAGATCTGTTGTTTTTTCCTCAATGGAAGCTTAATAACAGTTTTTATGTCCTACTGCTGCAAGTTGCAGAACTGGAATGGTTTGATCAAAAAGATGAAATATGACCTTGTACTGTCAGTAACTTCATTTAGATGTCTGGGTTTGGTTAGAGCCAAATAACTGCGCACAGAGGTAGCTTGCTGTAAGGATAGCTAAAACCAACACATAACAATGAAATATAGATGTTGATGTGCACATCTCTGCAGCTGCAGAATATGATACACATGCCATGACCTTGCAGTTATTTCCAGGGCTTACCAGAACATACGGGTTTCAAGCTTCTGTAATTTTGAGAGTTAGATAAATGGTATTAGTAATGTCAGAACCAGAAAATATAACAGGAATCACTGGCAAAATTGTGTCTGGTGGGTTAATCTGTTTAGGCTCGGAAACTCTTGTTTGTTTTAAAGCAAACCCTTTTGCCCTTTAAGTGCTGAAGTTTCTGTGCTGCCTTTCCTCTTTCCTCTGCAGTAGCGGAATGGGTCGCCAGGCGGTGGCAGTGCACTTCCCTGACATGCAAGTATGAGCACATCCAAGCCATCACATTGTCATCTTGGCAACTCTTACAGTTTAAGATGATCCCTGTCCCAGGCAGTTGAGTCTTAAACAGAAGACATGGAAAAAAAAAAACCCAAAGCCCTAGCTAAAAACACCTGGAAAATTGTCCATTATGGTTTAGCTGACACGTGCTCCGATAAGTGCGCTATATAATGCACATATAGTGACTATATTCAAACATTGCATGCCATCACACTGCCCCTATTAAAATCTCTTGTGAAGGAATCATTTTTATATCAGTAAAACCAATGTGTGTATTGCAGTTCTCTTTAGTTGCTGTTATTTTGTGCCAGAATTTGCTTTTTAGAGCAGATTCATGTGTGGCCATTCTTGCAAACTGGACAAAAAGCAAATTCCAGAAGTGTAGCACTGTCGTGCTGAGGCAGATGGGATTAATGGAGAGACTTTTTTTTTCCCCTAAAGGAAACTGTTAGTTTTGAATTCTGATGAAATTGCAAAAGCTAAATATGCAAGGATTTCACAACACTTGAGAGCAGGATTTGCCTCTTGTTCCACTGCCCACAATGTTTTGGCTACATGTTAAATGGATAGAGTCCCTCTGGCTGTAAGGAACAGATGATGCTTGAAAACAAATATACCCACAAAAGAGGATGTTATAAAGATAAAATCCTGAGGTTTATTTATCCATTGTTAGCAAGTTTGGGTGAAACTACTGCTTCAGTGCACAATTTACATCAAATTGAATTATGTGCAGCCTGAGGGAGCTGGCTGAGCACCCTCCCTGTCACACCCATCCACCCAAGGCCTAAATGGGGGAGATGCGGAAAAGGACAGAACATGCATGTGAAGGAATTTGGAATTCTCATTTTGATAGGAATATTGTACCACTGCATATTAAATCCAAAAAAGTCAAACTATCAGAAAACCTGCCTCCATGTTTGCTCTGCCATGTGTACACGAGGAATAGTTCTACTGTACTTCCAACTTCCTGCTCAAGCTCCGAGTGGCACTTTGAATACCCAGTATGTGGGCAAAGGGTTAGATTCAGTTCAGAACCACGTGAAGAAGTTCTTAAGGAATTGAAAGGAGGCAAAGAGAGCAGCAACTTCAGTAGCTATTTAAATGGTAAAATTCTTCACTAGTTTTTAATGCTAAGCATTGGTTTTTAGACTGCAGGAATGGTTAGGCTTATTCAGAACAGAAAAATTGCTCATCTGAGCTCTAAACACCTCGTGTTCTGTTCCAGAAGCAAAAAGCTACCACTGTGAGGGTGTGTATTTACCCTTTACATTTGCATACCTTTGTCTGCATCAGTAGGCATGAGGTGAGTGCTGCAGAAAATGCAGTGCTGAGCCTTTGGAAGAGGACAGTGATGAAGCCCAGGAAGAAGTGCTTTGTTCACCTACAGAAGAATAACAATTGTAAATGTTAACAGCTGCTCTTTGGTCACATCTTTGGTAACACACTTCCTGGTGAGTACTGTCCTCTGCAGTCACTGTCAGCCACCGCCTCTCAGGCACCCTTCGGTGTTTCCATCTCCTCTGACAGCGGTTACAGGGTCCTGAGCTGCATATCCCAACAGTGCTGTAACTAAGTGGAGCTGCACCCATCTAAACCGGCCACCCTCCTGCAGCTCACACACCAACCCCTGAACTCTGCCTCCCCTCTGTTAACCCCAGCTCGTTGTCTCCTGTTGCCCCATGACTAAGCTATGATTCAGAGTCCAGGACACCAACCCCTCCATAGTTCACCCTGAATGAGGATTACCAGCCTGGAGCACATTGTTGGTACAGGCAGAAGTCAATGTTACCTGTATGATGTAGGTTTACAGTGACTGTTCAGATTTAATTTACTCCTCTAAACTAAGTGGCTAGGAATTTCTTGCAATGCGGTACTTATAACAGACAAACCACAAAAGCCCCTTTCAAGTGCTTTATATGATTCCTGAACATTTTTTTGAAGTCTCTGAGAGCTAATGCCAATGTAGAACCCCCGCAACTGCCTGCAAATACCTTCTTTACGACATTACAAGGAACATCAGCAGTTCTCCACAAGGTGTCCTTTGGCCACTGGAAATGGAGTTAAGAGCAGATGGCTTCCTCTGCTGCAGACCACCAGACTGCTTAAATTCTTGGTGGAGGGCTCACAGGCTTTGTGCCAGGCTACTCCATTTCATCTATTGGCAAGTGTGAAAGGCACTGAAGAAGTCCCTGCGACATCAGAGATCAGGGCAGATGAGGGAGCATGAGGAGGTCATTGGAAGAATTTGGAGTCAGGTTCGTTAAGACAGAGTATTTGCACACATGGCTATTCAGCATCCAGTGTTCCTGCTAGAAACAGCAATTATTCAACAGTTAGACTGAGGGGAAAAAGAGAAAAATTGAGCAAGTACCCTCCGTTCAGATGGTTTCCACGCTCACAGTGCATTGACCTGCGTGCTTCACAAACAACAGCTTATTTGCTCTTCCCCAGCCCGGTACTCGCAGGAACGCAGCCGGGGCTGGCGGCAGCTCGGGCTGAGCGCGGTGGCCGTCGGGGTCACACGTGGCAGCGGTGAACGAGGCCGCAGCAGCGGGGCTGTACTGAAGGGGCTCCGAGGACTGGAGGCGGGGGCGTGAAGGCGGCCGGGGGTGCGCTCCGGGGCGGCGATGAGAAGCGTCACCGTTCCTTGGGTGGGTGGGTCCCCGGCGGCAGCTCGGCCAGGCCCGGGGCTGCCGTCCCTCCCATCGGGGCGGGGACGGGCCGCGTAGATACCGGGAAAGCTCCTGCCCAAGTTTCGATTGTGGTAGCAGCAGCCGCGGCCATGGCGGAGTCGGGATTGTCAGTGCTGGAGGAAGAACTGACCTGCTCCATCTGCCTCTGCCTCTTCAGCAGCCCCGTGACCGTACCCTGCGGGCACAACTTCTGCGCCTCCTGCCTGCAGCGCTTTTGGGCCGGGGTGTCGGAGAACTTCAGCTGCCCGCAGTGCCGGGCTACTTTCATGGGCCGCCCGCAGCTGCAGAAGAACACGGTGCTGTGCCGGCTGGTGCAGCAGCTCCAGGGCTGCACCGAGGCCGAGGAAGAGAAGGAGGAGGAGAAGGAAGAGGGCCCTGTGCTCTGCGACACCTGCCTGCAGGCACCCGCCGTGCGGACCTGCCTCACCTGCACCGCGTCCTTCTGCGAAGAGCATCTGCGGCCGCACCAGGAGAGCCGGGCCTTCCGCGACCACCAGCTCTGCCCGCCGCTGCGCGACCTGCAGCAGCGCAAGTGCCCGCAGCACAACAAGCTCTTCGAGTTCTTCTGCAGCCAGCACGGCAGCTGCATCTGCTCCCTCTGCCTCCTCGGACACAAGTTGTGCAACACCAGCCCCCTGGAGCTGGCCAAAGCCAGTGCCGAGGTGAACGGTGGGGGCAGCCGGCTCCTTCGGGGGCTCTGGGAGAGGGACCAGAGGGGAGCTCTGGTCCCCGAGGGCCTGGTGGAACCCTGGGTGCTGGTCATGGGCTCTGGTACGCAGGGGGGAGGCTGGACCAAGACTTGGACTGTAAATCTCGTGCCTGGCCTTGGCAAACTGTTATCAGCCCTCCAAAGCGTGCTACAGTATATCTTCAGTCATTCCTTGTGTGTTCCTCCTCTCTCCAAGACGGTGCTCCCAGGATCTGGGAAGGCGCTGTCACAGAGTTGAGGGCCAGTTCCTGGTTTGGGCTGGGCTGTGGCGAGGCCACCCCTGTGGGTGTCCCCCCAACGCTGAGCCCCTCTGCTGCTTGCTGCATGGGGGTCACTGTGTGGCCTTACTGTGTATATTCTTAAGAAACAAACAATTACAAAAGCAGCCAAGGGAGAGCTCTAGTATAAAAATAATATCCTCCCAGATAAAAGCCAGGAGGAGGTTCTCCATGGAGTGGAAGGGCAGGAAATGTGACCTTCCTGTCTTAGAATGCAGCTAAAAATCAGAGGGTAGATGCATGCCTGAAAAGTTTACATGGCTAACCTCACAGCTGTTCAGCAAGCATGTATCCTGCTTGTTCTCAGAAATCCTCCTGATTTGGCTTAGCAGCATCTTGAACTAAAGTCCAGCCTGAGAGCTAATGTGAAGTATATTCTTGGCACTGAGAACTGCTGTGCTGGTAAAAGCACTTGGTCCGTGTCGAGTGAGTCAACAGCATGCATCCTGCTGTTGGGAGAGGTGGAGCTGTGGGGAGGGTGCAGGCTCCACAAGCCACACTTATTTGGGAGAGTGCTTTTGCATCCCCTAAGGTTTAAGAAGCAGTAGGTTTAAAACCAATAGTACTAAATGCTTACAATGGTGATTTAAAACTTCCTGCAGAAATGATTCTTACCCCAATAAGCATGACCTGACAGAGCAGACATAGCAATTGCTTCTCTGAAATACTTCCTGATCTATCCTATTGCAGGCGGCACTGAAGAAGAGACTCACAGAGCTGTATAATCAGAATGAAAAAGCTACTCGGGCAATGAACACTTTGAGAATGAACCAAGGCCAAGCTGCTGTAAGTGGGTAACTGTTCAAAATGCTGTCAGGTTGGTTGGCACACACTGGCAACTGCATGTCATTCATGCTTGTACCCTTGGGACAACGGCTGTAGTACTGAGGTTGCATTGGCAGGAACAGAAAGGGGGTGTTCTGGCAGAGCCAGGCAGCTCCATGGGAGAGCACGGCATAGCTGCATTCTGATGCTGGTAACCACTCAACAGCACAGCCTGGCCACTGCCCCATGGCTGGGGTATGGAGACCCAGAATTCTCCTAAATTCTTGGGAGTAAAGGAGCTTTCTTTCTAAACTACATAGAAACAGAGGTTTTCTGTTGCTTGTTTCAAGTAATTGAAGCCTATGTGTTCCTCAGAGGCTTTCCTGTGGTAGTAGTAAGCAGTACCTTGTCCACAAATTGTGCTTTTGAAACCAGTGTCTGTTTTTGTCTGCTCCAGGAGACAATTTCCAAACAGAAGGATATGATCCTAAGTAAGTTTTCAGAAATTAAAGCTTTAATTGAAGAAAGAGAAATTCAGATCTTGAAAGCAGTTGCAGATGAAGAAAACAGAGTTTCAAGTAAGTTTGAATATATTTATGGCATTCTGGGAAGTAAGAAGAATGAAATTCAGACTCTCTCTGATCAGATTGAGATGGCACTGACTGAAGTTGATGACCTTCTGTTTTTGAAGGTAATATGTCTTTAAATGTGAATCCAATCCTTTATGTTTCTAGAATGCAGAATAACAGAACCCTGCTGTGGTAGTCCTGCTCTCCAGAACAGTTACAAACAGTAATGCAGACATGTGCCAGAACCTGCTATAAACAGGTGTACTGAAAAGTACACAAACACTGATGAAGGAGGGCTGAAATGGTGTCTGGTAGCTTCCCCCAATTCAGCCACCACCTCTGCTGCAAGCAGCAGCGCCAGATGAGTGAGAGATCATCCCCATGAGCTGTTGCAGCTCTGTGCTGTGACATTGTCTGATAGCTCTTTCAGGTATCAGTTAAGAAACAATACATGTGGTTGCTGCTGAAATTTTGCCATGGGTCGTGCCTGGCTGTAGCCTTTGCTCCTTTGCACAACCTCACCCCATTTAAACTAACTTGGTTGTACTTTCCTATGTATGCATGAGATTTACGGTTGTCATTTCAGAGAGCAACAGCACTACAAAAAACATCAATAAAAGATGCTTTTGTTCCTGTGGTTGAAATAGACCAAAACATGATACAGTCCTCTTACCAGTCTGCCGTTAACCTTAAAGACACTGTGAAACTTTCAGTGATGCCATCTGAGGAGAAAAATGTGGAAGGTACTGTATCACTGGGCAAAGTGGCATTTCCTGCCTTGGTTTTGAGCTTAAATGAGGGATCTTCCTCCTTCACAGTATCACAGTATCACAGTATGCTGGAGATTGGAAGGGACCTCAAAAGATCATCTAGTCCAATCCCCCTGCCAGAGCAGGAACACCTAGATAACGTTACACAGGAATAATCTAAACAGAATTAAAAAACCCCCACAGAAACCTAAAAAAAAACCCCACCCAAAACCCAGTGCAGCAAATACAGTCAGGTAAGATAGTGTGTCTTCCAAATTCTGTGGTCCTCTATTTCCACACAAAACTACTACAGTCTGGGCTAAACTAGGAGAAAAAATGTGCCAGTGTCTCTTCACTTTCATCTATAAGCTGATGAGTATCATGGTACTCTGCCCTTCTGGCATAGCTCAGCCTTTATTTCTTACAATAACTTATGCTTCTATTACATAGCAGGGTTGGATGCAGTTAGAATGTGGATTTGAGGGGAGAGATAAAACACAGTGATAAGATGGTGGTTACCCAACTGTAAAGATGCTGATTGTGTAAGAACAAAGCCCTACTTACCTGGTAAAGCAAATGTATCTTTTGGACTGGGACGTGGGTGTTTTCTATGCAGTTTCCAGCTCTGCCAAGCATCGCTTAAGTTCTATTCACATAACTGAAAAATAAGATTGAAAAATGTCTTTGCTAATGCCTTACTGTTCCTGGCAATACAAACCATAATGTGAAATATCACTGTTGCAGCAGGAGAAACACCTGGAAAAACTAAGGCCCCTCCTGGGGCTCCTCGAAACAAAAACGTAAAAAAGCCTGCAGGACCGCGTAAGTACTAAAGAACATCATCCCCTCCTAACTGTGGTTTTACCATCAGATAACAATTCAGGGAGTTACCCAAGAGCTGTTTGCTTTTGTGGTGAGGCAGTGATAATATGTAGTGAGCACTTTGTCAGGAGAAGGGGAGGGTGTTTGGGCTGTTACTGAGAGCTGTAAAGCACAAGCTGCACGTATACAATAGTGCACATACCCTTGGTGTGTGATGGTGGTGGTGGTCAGCGTGGCCTGTAAAGCAGAGCTGAGCCTCCCCAGCCTCTGGTTCTGACAGGGTGTTTTTCATTTGTACTACACATCTGTTGGCTTGTTTGATGGATTTGTGTGTACTGAATCCTGCTTATGGGCTGCTCATGGTCTCTTCTTTTCCTTTCCTCCTGTCCCAAGAGCATACCCACAAAGAGAACAACCCCTCAGCAGACCCAAGCCACTTTGCCAGGGGAGGCAGACAGCAGTAAGTGGTGATTAATAGCAGCCTTACTCAAACCTCTTACTGGCTATGTCTTGCCTATGGTCTAAGGTTGGGTGGATGGAGACGGTCTTCATGACAGGTTATACTGGGGCCTTCCAGTGTTGTTTTGTCCAGATGCTGATACTAATGTGGCACTCAGCCTGTTTGGAAGATACTCCATATTCTCTTTTTGAAATAAACCCAAGAAACTACTTCTGTTCCTTCCACTGAGCTCCTGACACATGGTACTTCCCATTCACAAGTTCTGGATGTGGAGCACTCGGTAGGGTCTGTTGGGGATGCTGCAGTTGAATGGATGCATAGCTCTTGTTGCATTAGAAGTTCTGCTGCAAAAATTAAAGGAATAGTCTATGTGCCTCATGAACAGACTTACTACTACTTACCCTAACAGACTACATCCTGAAGAAGAGTTGAAGCTCCTTCCAGGCTTATAACCTTGTGAAGTAGGAAGCAAATAGTAGGTTGTGCTTTACGAGTAGCTTTCCAATATGGGAAACATGGCTTCAACATGCTGGACTGTCAGCTTTATCTACTGCTGCAGCTTCACAAGAGTCATGATGATGGTGTTACAGCAGGCATAGTCTATCAGTGACTTCTCAGTCTCAGTAGAACTCACAGTTCACTCTTTTTATTTTCCCCTACAGAGGAGAAAAAGAAACCTGCTAAAGCTGGTGAGTCCAAACTTTGAGCACACTTACTCTAATTTCCACTGACTGCTCTTACAATGGTAAGCAGATGGTCACTAGTATTGGTGTATTAAGCAGAAGTTCAACTCTTGCTCTGAGAAGTCTCTTACTAGCCACTGTGAGAGCGATCAAGCACTGAAAGAGGTTGCCTAGACAACAGGGGGTTTTCAAAGCTTGACAAGGGATTGAGCAACCTGAGCTAATACTGAAGTTAATGCTCTGTGGAGCAGGAGGCTAAACCAGATAACCTCTAGAGGCCCACTCCAGCTGAGTGTGCCTGGGATGGTGTGCGAAATATGCAGGGTTTCTTCCCAACACCAAACTCTCTTTTCTCCTGTTGGCACAGCACCAGCCACGGGAACACCAACTGCTGCAGCTGCCGTCCAAGTTAAAGAGCTTCTTGACATCTTCCTGAAGAAATCCAGAGAGGAGCTTTTGCAGTGTAAGACACCCAATGTTATGCTACTTAAAGATGAGCTACTTAAAGATCTGGGGTTATGTGGCCTCTGTAGTTACCTGACAAAAGCACTTCTGGGGGGTTTTGGTTAGCTTAGGAGGTTATCAACTGGCTGTTACAAATGAAGGAAATCTGGGGAGTAAAAGGGGGCAAGAGGTTTCTAAGTGGTTCTTTTGCCAGGTGAATCAATTTTATCTTCAGTATTCATGTATCTTTACAAAGGTAAATCAAATTTTCTCAGTAATGGTTTCCCCCAGAATGACTGCATTAGGGTGGCCTAGAAACATGAGGTAATGCACTGGATTTTCCTTTGAAACAAAATTCAGGCTTTCATGGGCGCCCATGATGGCTTGCTTAAGATACTGTACCTTTCACTGCCATATCAGCAATCCCCTTCTTCTGCCACCATGTATCTGGGTGGCAAAGGAATCCCATGAAGATGAAGGAATAAAGAAAACTTGCCCTCCATTTGCCTGCTTTCTAACACAGACTTGCAGCTGATCCCAGTAGCTGTTACCGTGTACCTAAGAACTGCCTGCACTGTGGAGGAGAGCAGAGCAGGGAGATAAACACACATAGGAACAAGTGCCTAGGCAGGACAGTATAAATAAGAATATTTTGTTCTTCAGTACCTTCACATCATTCATGCCATTGCAGATGCTGCTAACGTCACGCTGGATTACAACACAGCTCATAACAAAGTGATTCTGTCTGACAGACACACCAAGATGTCTGTCTCAGACACCCCCATGAAGTATAACCAGCTCCCTCAGCGCTTCACTGATTGTTACCAAGTGCTGGGGTTCCAGTCCTTCAAGAGAGGCGTTCACTACTGGGAAGTGGAAATGCAACAGAACAACTTCTGTGGCATTGGCATCTGCTATGGCAGCATGGAGCGGAACGGGCCGGAGAGCCGCCTGGGCCGGAACAGCCGTTCTTGGTGTATTGAGTGGTTTAATAACAAAATATCGTCCTGGCATAATGATGTTGAAAAGTGCTTACCCAATACAAAGGCTACCAAGATTGGTGTGCTGCTCCACTGCGAGGCAGGGTTTGTGATTTTCTTGGCTGTGGGGGAGAAGCATAACTTGATCTATAAATACAAAACCGAGTTTACTGAAGCCCTGTACCCTGCCTTCTGGTTATTTTCCAGTGGCACTGTTCTGACTCTCTGCCAACTAAAAGAGTAAGGTCTCATATCTTAATTAAGTTTGCCTAAGTACTTCCATGCAGATAATCAGGCCTGTAGCAGCTCTTTGTGTATCTCAGTCTAAGGAATGAAAATTATTAGGTCTTTTAAGCAGTTTGGGAAATCTGCTGATTCTTTGGTCTAAATTGCTGAAGTAGTTAGATAGTGATACAGTAAAATGATGATAGTAAAAACTGGGATGAAAGGTTTTGAAAAGACCTTGATTGTCCTTCTAAAAAGATATAAATTGTTGTTAAATGTCTTCAGTAGCTGCTGTGACTTTTGTGGCTTGTTGTAAAGGATCCCCAGAATTAGTTTTCAGATCTAAATGTGTTTCACAGGTAGCAATAACCCCTTTGAGAAAGAAACAGGAAGAATTCCTTGACAAATTCAGGTTCCAAGCTTTGAGGCAGATCTCGGTGTTGCCTTTTTCTCTGTCCTCAGACTGTTGCCCATAGTCAGGATTTGCAATACACATGTTCTGGTGTATGAATCCATGAGATGGCACAGGCTGAGCTGTTAAGTAAGTTACAGTTTTATGACACTAAGTTATAAAATCTCATCAGAATGGAAATGCAGAGATTCTAGACTTGACAGGGAAGAAATCGTGTCAGAATCACCAGGAAGTACCATCAGCATCAACTCTGAGACTGGGAATATGCCAGAGAATCTTCAGGAAGACATCCTGCAGAGCAGTAGCCTGTGCCCTGTGATAATGCAGTTTGTGGGTTGAAGCATTCTGTCTCATGTTCTGAGCCAGCACATGCTTCAGATCTTCACACTGAAGGCTCTTCAGTTCTGTTTTTTTTTTGTGTGCTGAGGAGTTCAGGGAGAGCATTTTTGGCTTGCATAGGGAGCACAAATGTGCTGTTCACTTAAAGCAGGGTCTCCTGTGTGTCTTTCCTCTTTGTGAGGTGGGATATTCTCTGCTGGTGTATCTTCAGTTGTTCATATGGTAGAAACTGGATTTTCTACATGTTATTGGGACTCTGACTGGAGGAGCCTCAAGACAGTGTGCACACTACCTAGAAAATGCTGCTTCTTCTCTGCATGAAGCCTATGGGCAGATAAGTGGGTCTTCTAAAACATACAGGGAATTAGAACAAAGGAGAATACCCATCCATTCCCCCTGGGATGGATTTTTAATTCTCCTGGTGTTCCTTGCTTTGGGTTGTGGTACGTTTTCAGAAGTCCTCACCATGTACAGAAGAATCTGCACTTCTTATGACTTTAAAAGAATCAGTAGGCAAGCAAGGTATTTGGATCTCATAGTTACTGGGCCTGTATCTTGTTGATGCCTCTGGACTTACTATGCTAGCTCTTATTTCTTACAGTAGCCCAGGAAGAACATTCTTGAAGCAGAGTATTCTTGGACTCTGATTTGTAAAACTTCCCCTTATGGGACCTGGTGAAATAGAACATAAAGCTACTGCTGGCAGTTTGGAAGGGACTTGTTAGGAAGCTCAGAACTCCTGTCCATTTCACATTAGCCAAAGTACTTTAGAGAGAGACTTGCAGGAATTCAGGTTTGGTGTCTCTATTTTTACTTGGTTTGTAAACTCTTAGTACTTTGTCAAGGATAGCAGGAATCTGATGAGTTGCTTCCTTTTGCCCATCCTTTCTTTGGCCAGAATAGGATATGGAACTGGTGATGGACCTGAAAGTGCCAGGGCTGTCTTTGGAGTAGTTGTACTATCTCAAGGGTCTCAGCTTTCCAAAGCACACCCAGCACTAAAACGAAGCAGAACACTTCAAAAGGTGTGGGAGGAGGATGTGCACTGATACGAGCCAGCAATGAATGCAAAACCTTTTTCCCTGAACTTCCAGTTTTTCAGCAGTGAGGGACAAGAGCAGTTTCCTCTGAGAAATCCTGTCCCTTCAGCTGCTTGGCTGTGGCACAGTGCTGCAGATCCCTCAGCAGGGTCCTGGAAGAGCACTCTGTCTCCTTGGCCATGAGGAAAAACGTGCTCTGATGGTTTCTGCAGTGGAGAAAGTCCACATTTCCTGTTGCTTGCTTCTTGACTTTTAAGGGGTGTTAATGATAAACTCTAAGTCTATGAGCTTTTTTAGCCATACTCTGGAGTGATACTCCAGCGAAGTTAAGAGCAGCTTTTATTCTGCCATGCTGGACAAGGTGGGATTCTTTAAATGTGGTCTTCGTGTATGACCAACAGCACATAACACAAGAGGGGTTTTGGATTACCACAGGCAGTGAACCAAGCCTGATGCTGTATTCCCGATGCTCCTTTTTGTTTTCTCTTGTGCTGTGAATCACTGGAAATGATGGAACAAGGTTCTGTTGATTTGGAATTAAATGAGAAATGAATAACTGAATCACTGCACTCCTGAAAACTTACTTTGGTTAGCTTTGGATATCTTGGATATATGGAAATGGGGATGATTAACATTAGAAACATTAGCTACAACATGATAAATAATGAATGGTTCAAAAGCCTCTTCAGCACAAGTGAAGTGTTATTACTCTGCTAGTAACTATGTAAGCTGTCCTGGTTTTAAACAAGATATAGATTCAAGCATATATTTTAATTATACTCCTGTTAGTCTAGAAAAAAACCCTAATCCTGGTATTAATGAAGCCATGAGATTTATAATGATTTGCATATTAACATACAAGCTAGAGTAAATGGAGAAATGCTTGCCCACAAAATACAGTGATCTGTTTAAATTTAATCTTTTCTTCAATGAGACACAACAGTGATGTACTGCAGTATAGAAAAATAAATGCTTATGCAATTATAGACCTGTTGATTGTACTGATATATCAGCTATGTACTTCATATATACACATATACTTCAGTAAGTATACTATATGTTAGTTCACGTAGATGTGTCAGCTAGACATCCTTATGAGGGCCACAGACAGAGTTTATGCCATCTGTTCTATGACTGTGCCTGTAACTGTTGTAGAAGCTGTTGATCTTTTTAGCTCTAACGTGAATTAATAGTTGTACTCTGAATTCAATAAATACTCATAGTAAACCCTAACTCTAAATGTTTCGTTCTGTGCTGAGAACTGAAGAAAGCAGTAAGGAAGGCAGAAATAAAGATGCCACAGTGTACAAATAACAGGGGTTTTACTGCATAACTCACTGACTTGTATGAGAACTGGGGAAGAGAGAGCTGCTTAGGCTGTGGTGTAACTCTGGAGTTCCCAGAGTCAGGCAACAGTATTGTTTGATCAGCATGGCAGGCAGCACAAAAACTAGGGGAAGAAAAAATAGTCCTCATCTTTACTAACTACCTGTCTAAGAGGTCAATTAGATCTGCCAGCATTTGGCCTCAGTTTCTGAAGAAAGACAAACAAGTATTTTGAGTCTGCATAAACCTGACTGTGACTACAGCCTGGGTCTTGAGCAGGTCCTGAAACCCAGAGAGGTCAGCAATGCTCATCGCTCACACAGGGTCTGTTTTCTTACTTGCTAATGTAATTTCTGCTTGATTTTCACAGCAGAAGGAACAACAGACCTGGACTCCAAATTATACTCTCTAGGAATGCATGTGAAAATGTTTATCAGGATGTTTCCTAAGACTTGTTTCTCTTCCTAACTTAAACCCATATTTGTCTAGAGTTTAACAGATGCTGTTTCTATACCCAGTTCTCAAACTCCTTCCCACCTCTTCCCCCTTCCTGACTGCCTCCCAGTTGAGTAGCTGCAACTTCTCAAATAATATGTCAGTTAAAAACATGTCATGGTGTGGTCGTTGTATAACTCCTATTCAACGTCCATGTCATTTAGGCTTTCATTGGCAGCTATTTTGTGCCATTAAGAAGTTCAAGACAGCAATTTGTGAATCTCGCTCAGCCAAGTAGAACTGTGAAAAAAAAGGAGTTATTTCAAAAGTCAATTAATGCTGGTCTGTCAGAGTGCTCCTCATTCAGGTTTTTTTGCAGGCCTTGTCATGGGCTCACATCTGTCAGCCCAGTGTTTCCCAGGCTGCTATCAGATGCTGTTACATTGAAAATAATGGGTTTATTCACACCATTTACTGGACTCTGTGTGGCAGACACATTTGTATATCATTTTACGGTGTAACAATTCCATTTACATAAAATATAGGCAATTATGTGAGTCCAGCCAAAGCTCAGTGTGAGGGTGGGAGGAACCACCATTAAAATAATAAAAGCTAATTGAAAAGAGGCAGATAATTTAGGTGAAAATACCATCCTGAGCAACTCTTGATCCTATATTAGTTCAACAGGACGTTAAGGAGGTGAGTCAGTTGCATTATGTCTGTGTCTGTATTAAACTCCTCAATGTTTTTCAATGTAAGAAAAGAATGTGTACTTTTTACAGCTCCTCCATTCCATTTTAAAAATAAAGTAGCTCTTGGTAGAGAAAGAAAGGGGGTTTTTGCTTTAGGGTTAGGTTTTCCCCCCAGCTTATATCTTGAGACAAAATGATAAATGTTAACTATGACTGTATAAGTTATAGGAGCACAAATTACACCTCTCTAAATGATCACTGCAGACCACTGAAACCAAAACTCATCACTCTGAAATGAAGAAAAGCATTTAGGAAAACTGTAAGTATTCTGAACTCTGACTTCCCAGGACTATTTTGGAAGCTTTGCTAAATTTCAACAGAGTGAGATCAAGATCATTAAAAAGGGAGAAAAGATAGACTCTTGGTCAAGAGCAGAGAAAAAACTATTCCTCTTCCCGTATTAAGCATACAAATCTCAGTGCAGAATGAGCTCTCATGAGAGGTGTTACCACATGTGCTCCCTCACTGATAGCAGAAGGTATGAGATACGTGAGTCAGGGGGAAAGCTCAGCACAAGCCCCCAGTTTCAAGACTTTGTCTCATCGTTCCTGTGCCTTCCCACTAGAACCCTTAAGGTCTCTGAAGGCCACGACTTTGCCATTTTGTACTGGAACAGAAAGCTTATTGTCCTACTTGGTTGTACAAACAAGGTTCTTATCCTTTTGTCTGAGACAAAAGTTGAGCTTACATTGCAGTGAAAAATACTGAAACATTTACCTTAAAAATAATAATAGGATTAGAGAAAGGGAGTGAATGACAGAGGGAATAACCCTGTATTCATGTAACTAATTTCCTCCAGAACAGCGTGTTGAAAATTCAGAGCATTTGCAACAGCACAGAAAAAGCAAGATAGACACAAGGGAAAGACCAGCTGCACTCAAAAAAGGGACAAATTCACTCTGCCATAAGCAGGGGAAACCTCATTCAAATCAGTCAGGAAGACTTAGCTTGCAGTGTTCATTCACAAACCTTTACTTCACGGTGTTGGTCCAGTCAGTCAAAGTCTTATTACAGATTCTTGTGGCTTTTTTGTCTTTCAGTGAGTGGGGGAAACGTACTATACCTCTTTTGATTTTCTGATGGACACATCAGGCACAAGTCCAACAAAGAACAAATGATTAAGTGCATAAAAAGCCCTGCTACTTTATGAAATGTTACAGATCAGAAGGATTATGGAAAAGGCTGCACCTCCTTCCTGGAAGAGGCTGAAAGACTGAAGCTTGCAGTGCCAGAGGGAAAATGTTCAACATGCTTTCCTCAGTAAAGATAATTAATTGGGTTAAATTCAACTACAGTAAAGAAAGAAGATGACTTGTTTGCTTGCAGTTGCTCACAAATGTGTTTTGACTAAAACTTAGGTCTCCCCTGCCCCATACTAAGCCTGGTTCTATCTTGAAGTCAGCACTAATGAAAGCTGTCACCCAAATTCCACCAAGAACTCCTCTTCCTGCCTCAACTCTCTGTATGTGAAACACTGATGCTGCCCTGACCTAACCACAGCTCCTTGCTGTGACAATGGCTGTCTACCTTGTCACACTAACAAAAGTCACTGAAATTACAGTGTATGACCCGATTTTATGTTACTTTTCAACTCGTTTACTGCTCTTGCACTGATTCAAGTTTACAACCTTATCCCAACAGAAACACTGACCTCTTTGCCCCAGTTGACTCATGTTTGTATCTAAACGTCCTCAGTCTTGATGTTGCAAGATTTGCACGAAATGTAAATAGCAGCAGCACAGCACTCAAAGTTAACACTGACTTTAGCACAGCAGGACTTTTTTTGAGTGTGGGCCCTCTATAAATTGTGTGTTTTCCCCAGAAAAAGAATATTTCTGACTTAATTTCTTTTCTTAAACAAATGAAAACAAAAATATTTTCTCCAGAAAAGCTTTTTACCCAACCACTTGGAGAAATTCAGGTGCCACTACTATCTCAACTCTATGCCATACAGGGAGATTGCACTCAACTAGAAGTAATATATCCAACATCCAAGATCTCTAACAAGCTCTCATTGTTCTCATTGATTGCAAGGATTTCAGGTTGCTCAGTGCAAGGCTGACAAGCCCACAGAGCTGTGGATTAAATCACCAGATCACATGTGGGTTTAAGTATGTTGTTTCATTTCACACTGGGTTATTTTAGTTTTTCAACCATACTTTCACAAAACTACTTGCTTGTTCTAAAAAGAACACATTATTTAAAATGGATGATGCTCTACAAAAGCAAATATCAACTATGACATTAATGCTGTAAGAAGTGGCTTAGCCTCTATGAAAGACAAAACCCAACACAAGTCTGACACATACAAATATACAAATCAGGAAGAAATTCAGTACCTTTGATCTATACCAAAATAATATATTTTATGTCATATTTAGAGTGTAAATACCAACCAAAAAAGAGTAAACCATTTAAAAACCTTAAGTGTGGCATTGATTTCCAGCTCTCAAAACCTGAATATCCAGATATCCTTCAATACTTTGCAATGGCCAGTTTGCTCAGGTTTTTCCTGATGTGCAGTAATCAGCACCTAGAATTAGTTGTGGGGCCTGCACTAGGAATACCCAGCATTACGTTCTCATGCAGACAACACTACAACCAAAACTGATTATTTCAATGCACTTCCCAAACACCTTTTCTCATATGGCAGCGGTACTGTAACCTTAAATCTTAAACTAACAATAGCGTGTGTGCCTTTAACATAGTAGAATAAACCAAACCATTCTAACTTACTAACACGTAGAGAGAAAGGAATGTTCAGCTGATGGGGGAAGGAACATCATGGAACTGATAACAACTAAGATGATGTAAATGAGGCAAAGGATGCCAGCCTTCAAGACAGCAAAGTGGCGCCCAGCGTGGAGCGAGACTGGAACAGAACAGAAGCAAGAACATACCAAATGCTAACTCAGCACTAGGACCTTGCAAGCATGAGCAAGCCCTGAGGTCATTCAGTAAACACAGTGAGGAAGACTATGGACGACCACCAAAGACCCCCACTCAGCAAGAAAGCACATGTGTAATTAGGATGCAAATACTACAATTAGTTCCTGGAAAAGCTATGAATACGCATGAGGATGCTAAATACATGTAGCTGCTGTTGGCAATTATCAGGCACGCTCACCTTTGCGAAGTGATTCACATTTGCGCCCAAGTGCTGCAACAAAGAATGCTGCTTTCTGAAACTCCACATTGAGTCTTAGAGAGTTTCTCCAACTGACTTTTACAGGAACAGTACAGTGTTAGTGTTCCCATTGGCTAAAGTGCAGTATCCCTCACTGGCCTGTCTGCATGGAGCAAAATCAGATGCTGTCAACTGTGCAGAAATCAACAGGGTGCTGCAGAATTACTTCAGCTGTGACTGGGCCCCAGAGGGTTAGTTAATCTCTCTGCTAACCCACAGCAGGCAAAAAACCTAGCAAACCTGCCAACTGCCTGAAGGTTTAGTAACTAAGGCTACAACTAGAGTTAACATTCATTAAAGAGTAAAACCAAAAGAAATAAGAAAGGAAATCAAGTAGATATGGGAGAAAAGAGAAAAAAATCTAGAGAAAAAGCACACAGCATGTACGCGGAGCAAAAGATGTTGAGAGAATTTTATAATACTGAGCACAGGCTGCTTTCTAACCACAACAAAAGACAACCTTTTCAAAATTCAGAGTTACTTTGGGATGTCAAGAAGATGCAAAGAAGAAACTAATGAAACTAATGAAAATGTGGACTAAAAGTCAAAGTTTACAGCGCTCACAGAGCCATTATCTTCAGGAGATTCTCCAGGCCCCAGTTTTGGTGAAATTGTTAGCTTTAGTCTTTGGGTGTAATCTACTTCAGACTCGGTATCAAAAACTGGGCTGAAATTTCTGAAGTCTCAACTCCGGTGTCACTCCCTTCAGTTGAGCTGGAACTCACATGGGTTGGCTCCTCTTTCCCTTGCAGCCCAGTAAATGAACATGAAATCTTTAAACCGAGGAGCACAGCCCAGCCAAGCTTCACCAAAGTGTTCATTTCCAGTGAAAAGGAAATCTCCACCTCCCTTCTTCACCTTGCATTGCAGCAGGGTCCGGATAGGGCCTCGCCATTCACCACTTGCTTCATCCTGCTGGAAAATCCTGTTTTTCTGCCTGTAGACTTTGTGGACGCTGACATCAACCTGTGACATGTGGTTCTCTGAATCGTGGGAAACATTTCGGATAGATCCTTTCACCACTAGATGTGAAGAAGACAGGAGTTGGTTATGGAGCAGCAGGTAAGCAGTTCAGGTACTAGGAGCTCACTGAATGAAACAACTGGAGAAACAGTTGTTTTGCAGTTTGTACACCTACCACCTAAAGGTGGATGTATTTCTGAGCTTACACTGCATCCTGTACACAGAGAATCCTTACACAAACAGGCCAGGTGCTTGGAAGCATGATTTGTGACTACTCAAATCATCTATCTGAGAAAGAAGCATGTAACTTGTTTGGTAATGCAGAGTAGCAGTAAAGGATGAAAAAGCACATGAAAAAGGTTAGCTCAGGGATTTGTTTTATTCAGTCTATGTTCCAAGACAATGACTGTCACAGGCTACCTCCTTCCTGTCTCCAGGGGACTCTGAAGCTTTTCCTTTGACAGCAGTAGCACAGGGTGATCCCAGAGTTTGTTCAACATTTTTCATTTAAAGGTTTGGCACTTTTTTCCCTCCCTCAAATGTCATCCATCCACCAAAAGACACTTTGGGAGATGACTGACAACATGCAGAACTCTTAAAGCAACTTTATCTGAAGCCTTATTTAAAAATCACACATCATGCATGTACCTCCTTCTCCCAGAATTATCTTGGGAATGAAAGCCTAACAAGCCATAGTCTTCCTGACTGAAAGCTTCCCTTGCATCAGCCACATGGAGAATGAAACATCCCATCTGACAGATGTTTGCTGTTCTGAAGCCATCTCTCTCATTCTCATCACCCCCATTTTTTCACAGCAATCAATTCTTCTTCTACTAACTGAATTAATTTCAATGCCTTATCCAGAAAGGCTCAGAAATATGCCACCATTTGAGCCAAGAGCTCTTGAGCAAATAAGTTACCGATGCAATGGGAACATCACCACACTTCTGCTACACGCTCTTTTATTCAGGTACAGAGAAGTCAACAACCTAAGAGGCAGAAAAAGCTTATTTCTGGAGTTTCTGAGAATGTCCTCATTTAACCCAATTTCCAAGGGAATCCAGAATTCTGTGTAACAGATGTCTCTGCTCTCTATCTCCCTCTTTGTGTGACCAGCTTTAATCAGATGCAGCCAAGTCTATTGACAAGCCATAATGCCCTTGTTCCTGGTGCTCCATGTTGCTCCTGCACTGCTCAGGGCCTAGTGACTGTAGATCCCCATCTTATGAATAACTATAAAGCTCCTATTCACTCCCAGTGTCATTTACACTTTCATTAGTAGCTATTTTCTCTAATCAAAAAAGTTGATGATAGCGATTTGTGAGCACAGGGCAAGGAAGTCAGGTCATAAATAGAACTGGTTCAAAGGGCTATTTCTTCTGCTCTGTTGGTGCTGCAAATGTAAGTGTCCCCCATTGTGTGCCTGGGCCTCCACATCTGTCAGTCTCTGGTCTTTCAGGCAGTGCAGAGGGACAGCACCTTGCATGGGAACTGACAACTTCATCAAGAAGCAGCAATGTGCTGGATTGCATCAATTAATTTAGAAGAGAAAGAAAAACTGCCAGCTGAGGAGCACTCTACAGAAGCATGTTCTACACTCTGTATTTGTATTTGTATTAGCACCAGGATGTCAGCATTTGATTTTATCGGTAGCCTTCAAGTATGGCAACCCCTAGTAGGAAAGCAGGAATTTGTGTGGTTTTTTAAACACTGAATAAGGGTAAATATAGTTCACAGTTTTATTTCTTTATGTAGATACATTTACAGCACTATAATTGTGGCCATGTGGAGACGCAGCGCTACAGCTTTAGCTATTGGACATAATCAAAGAGGTACAAATTTTCATGTGCAAAGCTATGGGAACATAATGAACAAACCATAATCAAAAGAAAAAAATATATTGCATTATTAAGTAAACAAAACATAAAAAGTTATTAATGTCCCATCAAATCACTATCTTATTATGGAATATTATCTGCTTTGTTTTGTCATAAGGCCTAAAACCTAACCAGTATATCACTGAAGGAAGTTTAAACCACCTGAAATCCTTAGCTAAATTACAAACAATTCACTACCCCTGTAGAAGAACTAGGAAGTATGTAAATTGTGAGGAAAGAGAGTGGGCATATTCATCACTGGGGGATGAAGGGAATAAAAAGGAACATACCAAGCACATAGAACACGTGTGTATGCATGTCCAAACAAATGTAACTTTGCTCTATTTGAGAACCAGCAGCACACCTGTAAATTACTTTCAGGTTCTTTTTAGAACACAATCTTTCTGCCTGCAGGAAATGAGGACCTTGAAACAAAGCTTGTTCCTTCTGGGTTTCATTTCCCCCCCATTCCACTTCTTTTTCACACTAGTGAAAGCTAGTGATCTTTCTCAGATCATAGAGCATCGTCATGATGCTGTATTATTTAAGAAGCAAATAAATCCAAATAATCAATGCATAATTAAAGATAGAAAAACTTTCACTTGTTCAGCTTACCAAAGTCACTGCTGCAAATGGCCATGAGAAGCTCCATGTTGTCACAAGGACGGCACATAGCTAGAAAAAAACAACAGTTGGTTACTGGTAATACTATACTGTGTCTCACTGCTGAAGGACTGGTGCATTACAAGAGGAAATAGGACAGAACTACCTGGTTTAAGAGCATTATGATCAGCTGCAAACCAAAATTCTTGTTATGTAATATAAATAGAGCAAAGAAAGGATGTTGTTGGTGTAAGAATAGGAAAGAAAGGTATATGCAGTTCCAAGCAATTTAGATGGCTAGTCCCATTTCCAAGAGATCATTTTAAGTTCCACTGACCATTTGAGGCCTTGATGAATTTAAATCCCTTCTGAATATCATATTTAGGGTCCCTGCATCTACTCAGGTGTTCTCAGTGATGGTACTGCCAGGGGCTGAAGACACCCATGATCACAGTGCCTACATCCAGGACCCAGATGGTTGTTAATAGAGAGACAGAGTTTCTCTTTACACTGCAGCATTCCCTCCCATGCCTACAGGGTGCCCTCACAGTGGAAATCAGAAGGACCTCCCTTGCAGTGACAAACCCCTCATCCCAAAACATCTCCTTTCACCAGCACCACATAGGCAAGGTGAATGGATATTGGATGCCACCTTGGATCTGCCCCAGCACCGTCACCCTGAGGCTGACCCTGCTCTTACCTTCGACCAGTGCCATCTTTTTGAAGTCGGGGCTCGCAGCGCTCTGGTTGCTCAGCAGCTCATACTGGAAGCTGGCCATCCGGCGGCTGATGTCCCTCTGCGGGCTGGCCTGCAGGAAGAGGGCCACCCGTCGTGGCGTGTGGGCACTGAAGCAAGACACGTGGTGGGGTTGAGCCCCTTCTGCCTCGCTCACCACCAGATGCAGCTGCCCAGCACGTTCCACATAGATGCTGGCACCCTGGAAGTCACTGGCAGGCTTGATGCAGACAGTGGTGTGGCGGGCACTGGAGAGGTTGGGCTCCAGAACGACACGCAGGGCTCGTGCGGGGTACATCCACTCCAGGGAACCCTCAGTGCAGCGCAGATGAACCTGCTCCACCGCGCGGGAACGGGGCTCCCAGCTCAAACCGCTGCCAAGACAAGACCAGGAGTCCATCACCAGCCACAGGCACAACAACCCTGACGGCTGCCAGAGCCACAGCTCCTGCTCCCAGCTCTGACTCTGTCCTAGTGACGAGCTAAAACCTCCTCCAGCTGGGCTGCAGGGCAGCGGGGGGCTCTGCTCACACTCGGTGCTGCGCCAGGCTGGGTGGAAAAGGAGCCTCAGCCCCTTCTGCCTGCAAATCTATGCTTGGATGCCCGCAGCATCCAGAGAGATGACAGAGGGCAGCTTCTCTCTGCCAAATAGCAACGAACTTCCTTATGTGACAGCACGGAGCTCCTCACAGTCCTACCTGTAGGTGTGTGGGGCTGAGAGCCCCCGAACACAGGCAGCACTGTTACCTCTGACAAAATTATTTAAAACCCTACGTTTCTAAATTATTTTTAGCGTTTTCAGTAAGAATTCATCAAGAAAACGTTTCTAATGAAAGCAGGTGGGGCTGCCGCTGCTCCTCAGCTCTCGCTCACGATGGTGCACTACCACTGCCTTCAGGAAAGTTACTTTGCTTACTGACGAAGACTAAATCTATTAAAAGGAAAAATGCAAAACGCAGAGGGAAGGGATATGATTTCAGCTAAAGCTCTGGTAAGTGCTCTGCTGTCAGAGAAAACCCTCCGGCGAGGCGGAGCTGCCGCCCGCCCTCCCCTGCTGCAACCCGCTGGTCCCTGAGGGCAGCCGGGACACCCTGAAGATGGAGCCGCCCGCCCCGGTTAAAGGGTCGGGTCCGGTGCCCCCCTCCATTGCCGTCCCCCTCCGCTCCCCCCCTACCTGCCCCTCCAGCTGCAGCGGTCGGCCCGGCCCGCTCGCTGCCCGCCGCCCGCCAGCAGCAGCAGCAGCAGCCGCAGGGCGATGAGGGCGGGCGGGCCCCGCGCCGCCGCCATGGCGGGCACAGAGAGGCGCGGGCGGGCGCAGGCCGGGCTATAAGCGCCTGAGGGGAGAGGAGGGGATGGGATGGGACAGACACACGGACACCCGCCGGGCCGCCGAGGGGAGGGGGAGGCCTGGCCACCGCCCGCCTCCATCCCAGGGCCACGCAGCCCCCCTTCGCCTCCACAAAGCGACTCACAGTGGGTCCTCACGGCACTTGATGGTATCGACACCATCAAAGCCAACGCTGAATGACTGATGGAGACTCAATGGCTTAACTTTTGCTGTCACGATGACCTTTCAGGGGTCCGCGCACAAGGCGCTGCAATTACCACGCCAAAAGCCTACCAATAATGACATTTCTATATGCATTGCTCTCTCCCTATTTCCATAGGGACACAGGGAGCTGCTCGCTGGCAGGTCAGAGCCGGAGAGGCTCCTTGCAGCAGCTCCTCGGCGTGGAATCGGGATTTCACGGCCGGCTGGGACAATGGCGCTGGGCGCTGCCGGGGCACATGCCGGGACCCATGCGACATTGTTCCATGGGCACCGGGATGCTCCGGCCATCTGTTACCTTGTGGTTAGCAGCGGGTTCTCACATTGCCCACAGATGCGCAAGGGAAGGGATGGGAAGCGGTTCCTCCATTGCTTTTCTGCAGTGAGGGCTTTTCCTGAAAAGACACTGGGTAGAAGAGACATCCTGAAATCAGAGTCTCAAGGTCTAACGCTGGATCCCACAAACCTGACTTGGGCCCCCACACAACCACTTCACTTTAAATTCACCAAATAGTTCACACTTTTGCTTATATTACTGATGCGAGGAATAGTAACAGACTAAGGAAAGGGTTAAGATTGATATGTATTGATTGTCTTAACTTAGTATAGGGAACAGCTATGTTCTTGTTCTTGCTAGTCTTGTGGTTAAACTGTAACTCAGAATAGAATAGGTAACTGAAACACATTGTTTAAAATCGGGACCCTTTTCCCTCAAGAGGATGAATGTCTGACAAGAACCCGTTTCAGCTAGTCTCTATGAGACTTGAGGTTGCCAGCTGGGGAAACTGTGCCAAGGATGAAAAGTGCATGGTGAGGAAGACCTCTTACTTCATCCAGAAGACCCTGGCCCGAGATCACCAGGTGACAACGCGCAGGCGCAGAGGGAATGGCATTAATGAGTTTTGGGAAGTAATTGGAATAATCTCCTCCTATGCTTGTGAAATCTGATGAATATCAGATACGTTTGTGCATAATAAATACCCAGCTTGTTGAGCTCCCCGTGTGCGACTTAGGAGGAGTGATCCCCCTTGCACCCGGCACCGCAATAAACATACCTGCTTTATAACTCTTTGTGAGTTACGAAGCTCTGTTCTGTAAATCATTACCCAAAGACAGACATGGAACTTCAGTCTGGACTGTGTTTTTTCATGTTCTTCCCCACACATACCTGTAGTGTGACTTCCCATGCAACTTTAGGCTAAAGCCTGGCTCAAGTTGGTGCTGTGCAGGCTTCACTCCAACAGTCTAAAAACAGTTAAAAAGATATTAAACCTCAATCTTGATTAACATTACTGCCAGTGATCCTCAAAGCTGTGAAACTATTGCCTTCCTCATCTAAAGAAAACCCTGCTGAATGTCTATGCTCTGACCCCAGCTTGAATGGAAAACAGCACACAAACAGCCTGCAAAAGGCTGGATCATGGCATAATGCCAAAGCTAAAAGGCCAGAGCCTGTTCTCTCTTTTGTGTAAATGAGATTGGGGAACAGAGGAAAGGGCTGGGGAGGGAAGTGACACTATGATAAAGTGGCCCTGTAGGAGGATTTATTCACTTCCAAAAGCCCAAACCACCCCATCTGCTGCCTCAGGAGAAAGCACTGAGCCACTTGATCTCTGAACCTCTTCCAGCAGCATTTCCCCTTTCCCTGGAAAGCCCCCTGTGGATTTTGCTGACTTGCACTCTCTGCAGCCCTCCCGCCTCCAGTTTCAACATCCCAGAATGCCAAATCATCTCCTGTTCAAACTCCTATCCAGAAATTGCTCTTTAAAGATAAGAAAGTTGCAGGCAGTTCCCCTGCTTAGACTAAATACAGACTGCATCACAAACTGTTTTAAGATCCCAAATTACTGACAACATCAGGGAGCAGGAACCATGTAGGCATTTCATCTCACTAGAGAAGTGTGGGGTTTTAAAACCCTTTTAAACATAACCATTGTAAAGCCACACAAACTCAGCTTTTCCCCAGGGGTGAATACCTTGAGGAGGATAGACCAGAAGTGGGCAAGCAGCTGCCAAGACGTTGTAGGTTACCAACAGTATTAGTTTTACCTCTGGATGACATTCCCATGTTGTCTAGAAATTTTTCCATGTATCCAAGGTTTGAAATGCTTGGACTTTGTGGCAGAAATCTCAGGCACAAGCATGGCTGCAGTGTTCCAACAAGATACAACCCTGATCTCAAGATGACCAAGCTGATCATACTGCAGCTATCATCACTGTTGTTACAGGCCTGAAAACTCACATTTGCTTTTAGTGAGGAACAAGAAAAATTGAGTTTAAATACTTTAATCCACACACTTTAATCTACAGAGAAATACAGTAGAAATAACAAGACAACAAAAAGATGCATTAGGAAATTCAGTAACAAAGTCAGTGCTGTGAAGAAAACTGCATTTACAAAACTCTGTGAAGAAGATGGAGCAGATGTTACCAAAACTCTATGAAGAATATGGAGCAGATGTTACTCAGAAGAGCATTGGGGAGCTGAAGTCACAGAGACAGGCCGTGATACAACTGACTGAAGATGAATTTTCTTCAGTTTCACCTGTGTAAGTCGGGAGTACCAGCAGAGAACCAGGTGGAGTTCTGTGATTTCACTGGATTTGCAGCTTCTCACAGACAGAACCTGGCCCAAATAATACACATCACCCACATGTAATGATTTGAGCAAACGTCACAATTACAGGGGGCAATGGTATGTATCATCAACCACTTCAGAAACACTGGATGAAGTCAATGAGGGTTCAAACAGAGCAGAGGCTTTTACAAGACATTCCACAACCACACTTCCTGTGCCTACGCAGCAAATGAAGAACATGCTGTGCAGCTTTTATGACTAATAAATTTTACAGTGATACCTCCTTATCCTCTCATTTCAGCCTGCTGCCTTTTAAAAAACAATGGGAAACAATTTGGGATTTGAAAGCATCACTGGTGTCAAGAAAAAGAATTATCAATGTTGACTTTAAACATATTGAAGCTTCGATATGCCATTGGCCGTTATTTCTTTGCAAAGAATCTCACACTTCACTGCTGTGAGCAGTCAGGTTTGCATTGAGATTCTGTTTCCTGGGAAGAGAGGTGGGAATGGTAAGGACAGCTTCAGCTTATGTTTGGGCACTAAATAACACCTACCTCAAACTGGACTGTAAGGAAACGGTTGTTCTGTCAGGAGCACATTGATCACTCCCACCTTACTGTTTTGTGGGAAAACCAAGAAATACTGAATCCAAAATGCCACCTATATCAGTTGAAAAAAAACCCCTAAGGTGTTATAAATTCTACTTCTCATTTTAAACTCATTTTTTCCCCATTTAGTGCAACTTCAGAACATACGCATAAACACATTCAATACAAATCACAAGTCACAGCATCACAGTAGTTCCAAGCTAAAGAATACTTTTTTTTTCTTCCCAACTCTTAACATGCTGGTATTTTCTTGCAAGGCGTAATTACTAATTTAAAGTTACAGCTCTTAAAAGGAACATTTTTACAGTACTCTGACCACTAATTACTAAATAGAAGTCACTGCTATACAGATTGAAGTTACAAGCTACAAAAATAAAAATCCTTTCTGTTTAACTATAAAAATCCTAGAAAGAGGAGATGGCTGGAGGTACTTACTCTAAACATCACAATGGTTGGTAGCAGACAAAATGGCTTCTGAGGGATGTAAACTTTGGGTACAGAATGCAATAAGCTCACAATGTAAATTCCCACTTACTCTTACAAAGAGAACTATTTTCACACTGCAATCTACAAGCAAGTTGCAAATGAAACAATGCCAAAAAGTGAATTACATCAGTAAGGGTACACAGCACAGGAAACAAAGCAAAATTTTGGTTACATTCATACTTTTGAATAGTTAAGGGCTGGATCTTCAGCTAATGTAAGTCTGTGTAATGTCACTAGGTTTAGTCAAGGCATGTGGCTTTACTCCAGCTAGAAGCCTCTCCCTGAGATGCCCAAAACCTGAACTGTGTAATCAGCACTCTTGGTGAGATAAAAAGCTGTGATCATGCTGGGCTTTTAGAACTGTGGCCTAAACGAAGGTGAAATAGAGAATGTCTAAATTCTCTCAATATACTAAATGAACAAGTGGTCTCTGTTGTCTCATTCCTATATTCAAAAAGCAGCTATAATTTACCAGAAAAAAAAAGTCAGCATTTTAAAATAAGTGGTCCACATTCAACAGGATGAGTTAAGTACTAGTATTTTTAAACCAGAAGATCTCCTAGTGTACTCCTAACTGAAGGGTCAAATCTTCTTTTCTTTTCAAAAAGGAAAACTGCTAGTAGTTGGTATGGAATACAGAACAAAAAAGGCTTTTCAGTTAGAACACATGCAAAGATTCCTAAGTGTCCTACTTACCCACAGAACAATGAGGTTACAGTGGTACTCTACCAAAAAGCATTTCTTGCTGAGTAGAAAAGGCTAACTACTACAACAATGATACCATTATCCTGTCCACAGCTAAGGTACAGTGCTTAAAGTTTGTTATTTGTTTTTTGGTTTTTAAACCAGTGAGATACAGTAACATGCACTATAAAAGCTGTGAGCTTCAGTGCAACATAATACAGAACCAGAAGGAACCGGCCAAACTGAAACCAGAACCTTTAACAATCAGTTCTCAGAACCTGTGGGGAATGGGGAAGTTCCTCCCCAGCAGCAAAGAGCAAAAACTGGACATTCAGAATAGGTCAGGTGTCTGGGAGCCTTTGGAGACCTTTCTGACATCTTCCAGCCCAACAAGTGGGTTGCTGGGCTAAGAATAAGCTGTGTGAAGCCATTCCAATGCTCCTTTCTGACAAGCTATCTGGCATGAGGAATAAACTGGATAGAAGAGAAACTCACTATCCCGATTTAATGGGAGCTTTTGATATTGTCTCAAATGACATTTTTAGCTGAAAGTGAGTCAGCATAAAGTGAGTAATTCAATGACTGAGGGAAAAAAAGTACTTACTGAGGAGCTGTAAACACTAGCAAGCAAAACGTATGGGCAAAATGTATTCTCAATCTGCATTAGCTGAAGTTATACAGAAGAAACTTTTAACTTACTTTTGCTATAAGCATTGCCTCAACAGGATGTCTTTCTCCAAGGGTGCTCAAACAAGGTAGGCAGCATTTTCTTTTACAACCAGAAGAATCTCCAGTCTGTTTTCTGAGAGCAATTACTTAAAGCTTCTAACCAAAGTAAATGATGTTTCAAGTTAGTGCTTAAGAAAAGCAAGACCTGGAATAAAAAACCCTATGAAGGGGCAACATCGAAAGTGAACATACAAAAAGAGTATCAAGTGCATAAATTACGCTATATAGTTCTCACATTATGAACATGAAATGCAATTCATAACAGCTGAGAAAAATATTCAAGTTTGAACAAATTCCACATTAATTTGAAACAGCAATATTGCAACTGCAGTAGAAAACACAAGACTATATTAATAACTGCAATAATTGCAAAGTGCTGTTAAAAGTATGCTCTAAGCACTACTCTAACCTGCTTTAAACACCAAAACAATAGACATACATAGAAAAAACATTACCTAAGTGTATGCTACTCACTTCCTCAGCTGTTTCTGAAGATGAAGAATGCAAGTTTGGACTTCATACGCCTTTCTAAGGAGTCCAGCCATGGAGAAAGACACAAAATGCTGGTGGCATTTGAAACAGTTTAACCCTGCTATGAACGGCTGAATTGAAAACACAAAGTAAAACAGAGCCTACAACAAGAAACTGTGCACAGTTAAGCTAGTGTAAGCGGCAGTAAAACTTTGGGAATTCACTTTTGAGTGCTTGACATTGATGGCTGTTACACACCGGCACAGTTTACATAAGGGTATATCCGAGTGAAGACTGCCAGAGGGAACTATTCATGACTTGTCTTTCTGAAACATTGCTTTTGGTATTTTTCCAACGTTAAGCATCAACAAGGTCAGGAAAAATTCCTCAGGGCAGGGCACGGGACCCAGCTGCAGAGTACCCTCTCCTGGACAGAGAACGTACTGCAGTGTTTTCAGGTTTCCAATTCCTTTTCACAAGAGCTACAGAATAGCTATGTGCTCTGGGGCTTTTTGCAGCTACCATGTTAAAAACGCATGTAACAGGTTTATAATCACAACATGACAACATCAAGCAGCTATAGCTATATACAAATTAGAACAGTGCATTTATGCTAGCATTAGAATCTGGAAGCCCATTGCTGACATTTACTGCCTGCAGTCGGACTTCAAAACAGTGCCATAAAACTAACTCAAACCAGGCTTCAACCCAATTTGGAACATCCTGGAAAGGAGGATACATAGAAATCCAAGGACAGCATGCTGGAAACAGCAGGACTTCCCAAGAGATTCTAGTGCTAACATTGTATGTTTAAAAACAACTTTTGGTCATGCATAGGATGGCTACAGACAGTTACACCAGATAGATGATCCCATGTGTGATTGGGAACTGGACACTTCAACCTTACAGAACATTCTCCATAACACAAATACAATTTACAAGAGGCTTCCCCCATGCTTACAATGGCTACATTTGCTACCTGTCATTTGCAGCTTGTGAAACACAAGCTTCTTCCACATGCAAGAACGGGATGATGTCTCATACAACAGGGCCATTTACCAGGGTTTTCCCAAATGCCCAATTAGATGCTACTTTCACTTCTCCTTTGTTTCTCCAAAAGGAAGGCCGGATTTCCACTTCCCAAAGGGGATTTCACACCTTTTGAGTAACTGGGAGGATCCTGCCTGCACAAACTTAGTACATCACTGGTCCCCACTTGGGCAAAGCACAAATGGAGAACCCAGCTCACCTGCTGCACAAAAAGGGGACTTTCAAAGTCTTGGCATCAATTATTTTTCTTCTAGATGCCAGGAGTCCAAAGAGTGAAGTTTCTGAGCAGTTAAAGGTTCTTAGGCTATAAAACAATTTGCACAATCACCTGATCAACTTCAGGTAACTCTTTAAACTGATTATGAAGAGCTGAGACTAAGTAGCCAGTGATGTCATTTCCCTTGAGAAAATACTGCCTTTCATAGCATATACCCTGCTTTTCCAGAGACGTGGCATTTGCTTGTAAACAACAGGTAAGAACCATAGCACAGAACTTCACTATTGTAAGGATGACGATGGTTATATATATAAAAATAATAACTTAGCTAGTGAGATCTTTGTAGCTAATACAAATTGAAGCTCGTAACTAAAAAAGGGGGGTAGTGGATTTCCCTAACATAGTATACTTTTGGGTATTTTAAATGCTTTTTACAGTTTTTACTATTCATTTGTTCTCCATATTTACATACAATAATTAAGTTGAGGTGTATAAAGCTAATGAATGTGGAATTTACACATGGCTTCTGCTTTACAGTGCATTACACTCTAATCACATTTTCAGACAGCTATAAATTCACTGACAATCAGTAGTATTTAAGATCTAGTACATACACTTTCTACAACAAATACCATCAAGTTAAAAATGCTCTCCAAAGAGGATTACAACTGAAGGTTTTAAAAATACTGACTTTGCCAAGGTTTCAATAAATTATTTTAAAATATAAATAGTTCATTCACCATTAATGCAAATGTCATTTTACAATTGCTGAAAAACAGTTTCAGTTTACAAAACCTAGAAACACAGCTTACTTTACCCAATGGTATCACTTTCATTTAGGAGAAGGAAAAAAGGGGGAGGAAAAAAAGACACAACCACCAAAATAATGGAGGAGTTCTGACAAAAGCAGCAACATTCAAAGTTTAGACCAAAGCTCTCATCTTCTGTTACTATCTTGGCTTATAACAGTATACATTCAGCATAAATTCTCTTCCTACTTGGAAGATCACCTTCAGTAACTCAACTGGACTCAACTGAATTACTTAGAGACAAAGTTTAAACCTCAGCTCATAGCTCTCACCTGCTGCAGGCTTAAAATACCTACAACAGAAAAGAAAAAAGGAAGCAGGTTTTTACTTCTGTTAACCATGAAGATGTGTTCACCTGAGAAGCTTTTAACCTGAGAAGCTTCAGATACACCAAACTGACAGTTTCCACGTATTGTTGTATGTGTTCTTAACGTGTACTATCAATCTTTTTCTAGCTATATATTCATATGGGAAATGAAGTTTCAGGTCCAACATGGTAACTCTGACCCTCCTAAGAGCCAGCCAGGAGACAAATGCTTCCATGCTTTTTCCTCCAATCAAATTATACACGTGAACACCAGAACCTGCTAACTTCTGCAAACTTAGCTCTTAACTGCCACACTTAAATTGAAACAGTTAACAGACTGGCTTGCTACTGATCATTTTCAAGTGATCATGAAGCAAGATCTTTAAGAAACCCAAGATGACCAACACACACATTTGCCAATCATTGTTTCCCTAAACCCCTCCTCCAAACAGCTAAAAAGAGACATCTCCTTTGTCCAAGTTTTCCCTCAAGAACTACGACGTTGCTATTTACAAGAACTATAATTAGTTTTTCACTGAACTGAAGCAGAGTCAGTCACAGGATCATTCAGTGCAAGTCATGGTACAATTATTTTGAAGTTGTACCTTGGCTACTTGGGACCTCAGGAGTATTCTATCTATCTATGGCTTATAAAACCACAGAAAAAGGTCATTTGCTAACACAACACTTCCAGAAACCTTCGGTCCAAAAGCATCTTTCTTGCTAACCACCTTCCCCAGAGCTCCCAGATCCTCTGCTCTCCCAGTCAAGCCTATTAGATACACCCTGCACAAGCAGGTGCATGAAAAGGTGTTTGTGTTGCTCCCAAGAAGAAATGGCAGCCAGGAGCTGGCTGCTGTCAGAAAACCAGCTCACACCCTACTCGGTCTGATTTTCTGTTCTGGGGAAAAGGGCAGGTGGAACAGGCCAAACTCCAGCTGTTCCCCTTTCCAAGGGTATCAAACATTCTGCACACTAGACTGTATGAGCAGAAGATCTGATTCCGCAGCAAGGGAGGGCTGAGGTATCTGTCTCTTTCCTGCCATTAGTGTAACTAACTCCTCCAGCTAGAAAGGCTAGGCATTATCACCAATCTAAAAGGCAAAACAGTTGTGGTCATTCAGCTGTGGACGTTTTCATGAATGTAAAAGCATGGCTTCTTCCTCAGCACAAGTTCATTCACAGGTATGAACCTTAGGACACAAACTTCAATCTAAATTAGGTGTTCTCAGTGTTTTTAAAGGAGCTGAAGTTCATTGCTGTATTGTTCAGTTCCACAAAATCTATGTATCTTCATCCGTTGGTTCTCTCATGTAGTCTTCCTCAGAACTGCTGGAAGTATCATCATCTGTTTGTTCACCCACGGGATACAGCATCAGTGCATGTGTCTTATGAGTTATGGTAACAGTGCAGGGCCCCTGAGCCCATGGCTCTCCATCCACCTGCATCGGCATCTTTGAACTCTTCAAGATCAGCTAGTATTAAATAGAAGAACACACAATCACAGTGGTTCAGAGGAGCTCTGGAGATCCCTTTTACAACAACAACAACATGCTGATACTGTGTATTAAAAAATAGTAAGTTAAGGGAAACAGGTTCATCATCACCACTTACCCTCACTGTATGTGCCTGCCCCAGGCGAACAGGATTTGCTAGCTTCACCTGAATCTGGGCACAGTGAAAAGAACCATGAACACCAACAACCTCCAGAAGTCCATCATCGTGTCTATGAATTGAGAAAGGAGACTCTTTTTACTGATGCTTATGAGCCCTAGAATACCTGTCCAAATATTACACAGTCCTTTATATGTTTAAACTGTCTATTTGTGCTGGCCAGCACTGACAAAATCTCACTGAGCAGCAAGGGAAGTCATACAGAAACAGGTATGGAGCAATACATCAGCTGGTACACTCCATCTAACTTCTGGAAACTATAGATGTATGACTTAAGCCCCATCGTGCACATTTAAGGCCCACAGTGGATTTCTCTTCCATAAATGTGTACAATTTTCTGTCTTTTCATCCAGTTATTATTCTACAGGAAAAGCTGCTAATGGCCTAATTCTTTAGATTTTGGTAAAGCACCTTGCCCAGATATTTTTTAGAAATCCAGGATCATGGAGTCTCCCTCTCTCCCTCTCTGGAGACATTCAAAATCCACATGGACATGTGTAATGTGCTCTAGGAGGCCTTGCCTTGGCAGGGAGGTTGGACTGGATGATCTCCAGAGGTCCCTGACAACCCTAATGGTTATGTGATAAGTCTTGTAACCAAACTGAATTATATTTATATATGGCTTCTGAAGAAGGAAGTACAAGAGGGAATAACTAATGTGCTCAGCTTTTCCCCTTTATAGTATTGCTCCAGCCAACTTACTCAAGCATGGCAGTCAAATTTTTGGCCTGCTTCATTTTTACTTTATATTTCAACCTCTATTAAGACATGTTCTTTCACATTCTCAAATGGATATAACTGCTACTTTTTGAAGGCTATCTTTATTTCAATAGCCTCTTCAATGTTATTGCTTAATCATGAGGTGGTCTTAAAAAACACCTTCACGTGTGGGACGCACTTAGGCCAAATCTCTAACATGAAGAAAATAATAAATCCTAGATAACCTGCTGCCACAAGGAATCCCTCTGACTTTCAGACAAGTCTGACTACATAAGCACAGCCTAGGAGAGAGAACTGCTTGCACTAGAAGAGCTATTAAAGGCAAAAATAAGAAGATGCACTTACCTTGCCAAGGGGTAAGGTTCATCACCCACTCCTTCCCAGAGCCTGCAGCCACCTCCCCAGTATCCAATATTCAGGACAATGATGCCTTCCAAATTGGGCAACTCGATTCTCTCACCATCCAACTCTAGCTTTAAAAGACAAACAGAAGTTTATTATTGTGGATCAAATTCAGTACTTCAATATAAGCTGGTTATTCTCTTTATGCATCTAAGAGGCTTCCACTTGAAGAAAAACTGGCCCTGTACAAATAGAACATGTTTTCTTCTCATACTTTAAAAAAAAAGACTTCTGATTTCACAAGATATCCTAAGCTTTAACAGATTTCTGTTAACAGAGAACAGAAAAAGGAGCTCTCACTTACGTAAATCTCTGGTGTAAGGCAAATTTTATCTGAGTGTCAGTACCTGAACTCACGGAACTGAGACAAGGTCAGAAAATAAATAGGGATTTTCAGTAAGCTCATGAATTCCATGAGATACGTCAGTGTTCTGTCTATCTGGAAAAATACTCCAAGTCCAAAGCCATTCTCACACAAGTATAATACAGATATAAGCTGCAAAGCTTTCCCCTTTTTCTTTCACAAGGAAAGTTCTGACACTTCACCAATCGTCCAGAGGATAAGCAAGTTAAAAAACTTACCTCAACCTTTTTGTTAAGATCTTTACATTCTTGTACTAAGCAGTCTTTGGTTCCATAGAAAAAATAAACTGCCTGTAAAAAAATACCCCAAAACAGGGAGAAAACACTGTTAGAAAAAGACAAATCATATCAAGAATATGAAATATTCATGCGTAGTTGTTATTCTGCAAACCTTATCTAATATTAATACATAACATATTTGCACATCGTTCAACTAAGTACTCTTCATGAGAGAGGCTACAACTTACATAAGAAACTTGCTTTCCACATTAAAAGGAAATAGGCAATGTCTTTAATCCATTAAATTTCTGAGCAAATGAGACATTCTAAACAAAAATTGAACAGTACATTCCATAAGCAAGAAAGCAGAGGCAAGAGAGAACACTTGTGAGTGGGCTAGAAGTATGTTTTACCCATGGAATCTCCTCCCCAAGAAAAGTGAGCTCAGACTCTTAAAATGGCATGAAAGGAAGTATGGGAGTAAAGCAATGTAAAGCAAAAAATAGCCTTAAGTTAACAACTACAAGGAGAAAAATGTCACTTCATCAAACAGACCTTGTTAATAATTCTGCTGGAAAACAGAGAGGGAGTCTTCTCACGATGAGCATGAAAATTTAAAGCCATGAGAGCATCAGGTCCTATAGAGAAGTAGTTGTTCATTGTGAATACCTGTAAAACAGAACTTGTAGTTATGGTCTTATTAAATATCATTATCAGGATTTAAAAGTCACAGTGTTTAATGGAAAATGGGTAACCAGAAAAATCAGTATAAACACCCAGGCATTCCACAGAATCTATATTTATACTTGCAAACCATACCTTTGGTTTCCTTAAGTTGTAGTATCCTTTGTTTGTTACTTGAACCTTCCACCTGAAAAACAACAGCATTACTTAGACCCATGACAGACTGTTCTTGCTTAACATCAAAGCTGTAGTTACAAATGTCATATCTATACTGGGATCAAATCAAAAGATTCAAATTTAGTTAAATTACAAAAAAGTTAAGCCTTGTAGAACAACTAAAGCCAGACTAACTTTGGACCTCAGTTATTTTGCAGTTCCCTCCAGCAATACTTGTGTTTCTTTACATATACTGCTGCAACTGGGTATCAGCAGAGCTATAGTAGTATTTGGTTCTATAGAACTTATCTTGCCACTGTTACTTACCTGTCTAGTTTGATTCCATCTGCCTCCATGACATTTTGTAAGATTTGCTCTACAGGGACTTCTCCAGCATAACCTGCACCCCAGCCCAGTGTATTAGACAGGTCATTACCTGTTCCCAGAGGTAAAATTGCAACTTGTGGAATATAACGTTCTTGCCCCTAGGATACAAAACCACTGCATATTAGCTCCTCCTTCAGCATTCATTTTCTCCCTTTTATCCCCAAATGTTCAGGTTAGGTAAATAACATTAATCTTCACAGCAGGTTGTTACATAGTGCAGAGCAATAGAGCTGGTAGCAGTAATAGCAGATGGCACATTTAGGTACTTTTTGTAGAGATAATGCAGAAGAAGGAAATGTTGAAACATTTTAGAAGAGAAATGTTAAAACATTTTAGAGAGAATACAAACACAATATGGAAACAATGTGCTATTAATACTGAACAGAATATTCCTTCACAAAGATGATGCTTTAGATCTAGAAGAGGAGCTCTGAACTTGGCACCTGATTTCCTGACTTGCTGCTGTTGACTTGCTGTAGCCACAGTAAGTTACTAACACTATTACTGCACATAAGCAACAATAGATTGTTCCAGATACATGAGAGGGACTTTTTACAAGGGCCTGTAGGGACAGGACAAGGGGAATGGCTTTAACCTGCCAGAGGGGAGATTGAGATCAGCTCTCAGGCAGAAGTTCTTCCCTGTGAGGGTGCTGAGACACTGGCACAGGGTGCCCAGAGAAGCTGTGGCTGCCCCAAGCCTGGGAACATTCAAAGCAAGGCTGGATGGGCCTTAGAGCAACCTGCTCTAGTGGAAGGTGTCCCTGCCCACGGCAGGCGGTTGGAACTGGATGAGTTTTAAGGTCCCTTCCAACCCAAACGATTATGGGATTCTGTAACTCTGAGAAGTGATATGAACACTAAGAGAGACATAACATATGGCTGTGAACCATCACAAGAAACTGAAATGCTCTTGAAAGACTACAGTGAGGTTAGGTCTGAACCAGCAGATGCATGTAACGCTAGAGTATTCAGCCATGGACAGAAATTCACATACTCAAAGAAGGAAAGTCAGTATCTTAAGTTTCAGGGATGCCACATGCACACACAGATCCAACTGTCATCAGCAGATGGAGCAGAGGATAATCACCTCTGCAGATCAGAGGGGAAGTGACAGCAGCAGGCATTCAGAATGGCCACCTCAGCGAAGGTTTTTGCTCTCTTTACCATAGAAGGATAAAGAGTTATTTCAGATTTATTATGGCCTTTGAAATTCAGCTGCGAAAAGTACTTGCAATAAGTGGCATTATGGTTTCTGTTTTTTCAAGGAGTTATCAGCTAGATAACCTGTGTTTGAAAGTCAAGATAAACGAAGGGAGCAAATGAACTATTGCTGATAATAAAAAGGTTTTGTGGATAATCTCATCAGTATTTATCTAACTCCAATGACTCACTTTGAATACTTGGAAACAAAAAAGAACACAGATTTAATCAACTATGTTGGCTCTGAGGGACAATATATCAGGTGCTTAAGATCAAGTAACCATATACTCACATTCATTAACCTTTACAGTTATGCTTTGTTGCATTTATACTTTATCAGTACATAAAAGTCCTGATATAAGCTCAGTTTGACTATGCACAAGGTAGTAATAATGGCCTTCAACTAAAACATTTCTTGTATTAACAGAAAAGCCACAACAAAATGCCCCAGACCAACAACAAAATCGACATTTATATAAGCGGAGAAACTTTCTTACTTTTATTACTGGAGAAAACGTTTATAGGTAAAGCACTAAAGCCCTAATAATTCTTCATTTTTTATTTTCTCAACAGTTCTAAGTAGCCCTGTAAACTGCAATATCTTCCATTTCAAAGCAACAGTAAACATACAGCTTAATTTTCCTTCTCTGCTTGGTGTCAGCACAGGCTACAGTAGGCTGCGGACTGACAGCTCTGACAGGCTCTTTAGAATATATGATAAGGAGCAGAAGCAAATGACTGCACTCATTCATGCACTGGCAATATAACCAGTGTAGCCAGCAACATTATGAGGTTATTATACGAGCTTGAGCGCACTGGGAGAAATGACTAGTCAGAGCACATTAGCAGCAATGCCATTTACAGCAAATCCGTTCAGACAAAGAGGAAAGAACAACACATAAAATATTCTGCAGCTTGTTCTTTTCGTCTTTTACAGAAAAGAACAACTTGAAATATCATTTAAAACATAAAGCTTTCACATTTTTCCTAAACTACCAGGGAAATGGTATGAATAAGCAATTTTGCAAATATTTCTCTCTAGGCTTATTCAGTAAAATGAAAACAATAAATGCAGGTTAAGAGATCAGGTGCAGCAGTTCAGCAGCTCCAAAACTCATTTCTCCATAAAACATCTTTTAACTTAAACCACGATACCTTTATCTTCATTTCATCAATGGCATCCAGGACCCAGCCTACTGTGCCATCCCCACCACAGACAAGAACCCTGACAGCGTTGCAAGGCAGCAAGGTACAAAGTTGGAGTGCTTTAGCAGGTGTGATTTTGCTTAGATCAAAAACCTAGAAGAGAGGAAAATGAGGAGTTCCCTGAGTTCACAGAACACGACTCACAATTTGCCTTGCAGATAAACAACTTCAGAAAGCTCATTCTCATGCAAAACAAAGATTCTACATTTACAATATTACGTTATGAGCTGTCTTGACTTCTATGAGCAGGATTTGGTTCCCTGAATTCACAAGACACCTCCAGCTGCTTCACTGGGAATAAATGCCATTGATAAACTGAGCTGACAGTGTCCTAGGGAAAGTCTCTATCTAGAGGCATTATGATGAATTCTGTAGAGATGAGAGACTTCAGATAAAGGTTATTTTTAAATACCCATCACACAAAGAGGTTTATTCTTTAAAGCCTGATTGGAATGCACTTAAACACACACACACATAGTGATTTCTACTAGCCTGTATTCCAAGGCTGCGTTTTGAACTTCAAAGCAAGAGTCTTAAGGTGCAGCCAGGAAATCCAAGGAACAACTAACTGCCTTACGTCAACATCCTGGTCCATCCCCGTGGATTTTAAAGGAAAGCAACAACACAAAGCAGCAACTGTAAACACTGACACTTGCACAAGTGAGGATTTAAACAAATAGAGGTTTCAAATTAAGAAGATCTGAAAGTTTCATTTTCTAACAATTGCACATAGTTTCAAGAGCCAAACACTCATCATTAACAGAATTACTGCATCTATTACTAGAAATAAAAACCTCGGCTGGCACTAGAACCGTAACAAACTGGGGGTGGGAGGAGCCTCTGCACTTTTGGTTTCTCTCTTATAAAGCTGTTTGCTCTAAAAGAACAAACTGCATGAACTTGTTTCCTTTACTGATCCTCCATAAGATCCTACTACCATTGTGTAAGCAAAGCCATGTTCTACTTTAAACTTCTTGTTTTATTATAGTGGCTTTTCACTGTAAATACCTGAACAGGGTTCAGCAGAATTTTAAATTCTCCTAGTAAAGTTTCACCCATGTTGTTTCCACTGCGAGTATTGGCCAGTACAATTACTGGCATCCAGTGTTTCCTGCAGTAAGGTGCTACCTGCAAAAGGGTAGAAGTCAGTCGGACACAAAACCACAGCACATTTGGAAACGTTTACAGCCTTGCTCCAAAACCTGTCCCCTGCAAGTTCGGAAATGAGGAAGTTACCAATTAGCCTGAGGCAGTCAAAACAGAAACATAAAGGTTGAAGATCTCTGTTCTGCAGTGCCTAGGACAACAAATACTACAATGTTAGGAACCCAGTAGCAGAAAAATCACAAAACATGCAAGTAAGGTACCTAAATCTCAGTGGTTTTTTTGAGTAAAAAAATCCAAATGTATGTTCATGCTCCAACTACCATGTTAGTAAAGTGACAAGACACTTCAGAATTAACACTGCAAGTACTTCATAGGTATTGAAACATTCATTCACCTCAGAGTGATTAACCTGACAATGTTCTGAGTTCAAATTTTGATGTGCGTAGGGGTTTTTCTGCTTGTCAGGGGTTCTTAAAAAAATATATTAAAACCCAAGCAGCAGCAGACCATTACCTTTTCATAATCAGTTCTTTTCTCTTTACGCATCTGGTTGATTGTAGACAAATAGTATGGTGGGATAATTAAGTCTCTGAATTCTCCAAATGTACACTTCTGTGTCTTTAAATAATCCACCATGCATTCATCATGGACAGTGTACTGGCACCACACACATCTGGAATAAAGACCAAAAGCCATGGAAAAGAAATCCTCAAACAACAGGCACATCAATATTGCTCATTTATTTTAGATACCCTAACTCTGAGAGGGCTTGTTTACATGCACCACTGTAAGTAGTATTTTAAACACACTGGCTACAGAAACTGACATAAGTAGGCCATTGTGCTTGCAAGTTTAGAAAAGCATTTGAATTCTGAGGAAAAAAACCCAAACCCAATAGTTTAAAATTAACTCTATTCTTTTTAATTCTATAAACATCCTTCTGCATTGTCTGCAATACTAACAGTCACACTGAAAGAGAAACTGAACTCTATCCATCCTTAAAGAGCACAGACGAAACACTAGATGTTACAAGTAACATTCATTAATAAATTTTGTAAGATGTAGAATAACCCTTTAAGTCTGAAACCTAAAAGGTTACACAGTGGGGTATAAGGCTGCTGGGATTTTGCTACGCAAAACTGCTCTGCTTTTTACGCATTCTAAAAGCTGTCCTGGAAAACGGGCCAGAACAAGAGGAAATGCTGCAATATCTACCACCAGCCTCTGCAGAATGTTAATCTTCATTTGCTACATCCAAAGCCTTGGTTTAAGCAGCTGTGAAAGCTATTTTTGGAGTCCTCCTGACTAATCCAGCACACCAGAGTACAATGATACATACCCTGTACTGTGACTTCTTTCCGTCCCACTTCGCCTTCAAACCCCTCTCCTTCCCTCCTCTGCTATGCACACTCTCAAGGTTTTGTTTCCAATAGTGTGCTCATTTTCTGCTTACTTACCAAGCAATCTGACAGCATTACACAGATGCAACGCAAAAGCTGGCAGAATATATAATGGAAAGATGACATCTTTCGAGAAGGCTGAAGTAACACGCTGTACCTAGGACCTAGATCACTAGCACTGTATTTTGGCATAACATGCCTGTATGTGTCATGCTGACAACTCTGCAAGCCCATTAATGGCTCCTTGCATTTTTTAACACTCTCACCACAAACTTTAACAACAGATTCTATTACAGAAGCTCTTAAAATTTCCCATTGTCTTTCTTTTGGAGTATCCTTAGAAATGAACTTCAGTAGCTTTAAGATGGTTGTTCTGGTTAGACTGAGCAGATACCCACTACACAAATGACAAGGGCGTTAGAACCTTCTTCAGGTCATCCCCTAAAATACACACTCTCCTGGACACAGATAGCCATTTAAATGTAATTATAGGGTAGACAGCACACCAGTCTGAGTAATGCAATTAAGAGAGCAAGCAGACAGGAGATATAATGCCACACTCTTAATCTTTGATTCCAACTACCCACAAGCAGGCATTTTAATTTTAGGTTCTTTGAAGTTGTTTGTTTAACAGGGTTTTACACCTGACTCTTGCAGGACCCCCTTCGGGGTAACATGCTCCAATCACCCTACAGATATGGCATCGTACTTACTCATACGAAGTCAAATCCCCCTGCAGTACCTGTAGTCGCAGAGCTTGGGCTGTGTGCCACACTGCTGTCTGCAGACCATACAGCAGCTGCAGAGCGGGACGTTGCCTCTGATCCAGTGGTGTAGCATGGAGCTGCGGGCTCCGCTGTTGCTCATCATAATCTCCTTGCAGTGAAAGAGCTGGTCAGCCTTCTTGAGGCAGCCTTCGCTGACACGCAGGCCGCAGCAGTTGCAGAAAGCGCCCTGGAGGATGTGCTGAGCACACACGCAGCAGTAGGAGGGCTGCCCGAAGAGGTCTGTGTAGTGCCAGTCATGCTTGCTCTTCCGAAAGATATCTCGGATTAACATCTGCCGCCGGGACCGCTGGAAGCTGCACCACAGGGTGATGAGCACCGGCAGGAGCACGGAGCACAGAGTCCAGAACACCAAACTGTTGTCTGTGACGACCGAGGAGGCAGCGCTGCTCCTGCTCCCCGTCCCTTCCATCCCTCGGCAGCTCAGCCTCGCCGGCCTAACCCCTCACAGCACTCGGGCAGACGGCAGGGCCAGCCCGGCAACGGGCCCCTAGTCCAAGAAGCCAACGCGCAGCCTCATCAAACATGTTTTAACCCCTACTAGGGCCAAGCACCTCGTTGCCCCACGAGGGGCCACCCGACCTACCCGCCACAGGATGCCGGTGCCCGCCGGCTGCGCGGGGCACCACCCGCCGCCCGCCCGGGCCCAGCACAGTGCCGGCCGGCAACAGCCGCCTCCCGCCCGCCAGGAGGGAGCCGCCGCAGGGCCCCGGCTGCCCCGAACGCACCACGGCCACCACGGCCCCTCTGCGGGGGTTCGGGGTAACGAGACCGGCACCGCGCCGAGGCCCCGGCCCTTCACACACCTCCTCTCCGCCGCCCGCCCGCTTCCCCCTCCGCAGCCCCCGCCGGGTCCCGGCGGCGGCTCCCGCTGGGCCGAGCAGGAGGCGAGCGGCGGCCGCGGAGATGCGCGGGGCGGCGGAAGCGGAAACGGCGGTTGCCAGGAGACGGGCGCCGCCCGGGCTCGGGCCGGCTCGTTACGGGCTTATCGCGACACCGGGCCTATCGCCAGCCCCTCCACGACAACGCGGGGTAGCGCGGCCCTCGCTTAGCTCCAGCCACAGCATGGCGGGAGCTCGCCGGGAACGGAGCTTCGGCAACCCGGGGAGAAGGGCCACGGTGGAGCATCCGCTGCCGAGCCGGCTCCGGGCCCGGTTACCACACTGCCGGTTCCTGTGACCCCAGCCAGAAGCGCTTCCCCCTAATTCCGTTCGGTCCTCACACGTTACACGGCTCCCCGGCAGCAGTTCTGCAAATAAAGAGCAGCTGCTATTAGAAACGACAGGGTTTCCTACTTCCAACGCAGTACCTTGAACAATTACAGACATCCACACAAGAGACACAACAGTTCTTGGATTTTAGGCTGTTCACACGCTGGAAAATGCCAGCGTGCCACAGCTTAACGACACTCCGGTTTCCAAGGGAAGTCCCATCATGGGATGCCCCAGCTCCAGCATGGCCCGAGCCCTGAGCGCTTCCATCCCCTGCTGCGGCTCTCACGAGCCCTCACACCTACAGCACACTGTTTCTGTCAGACCTTTACAGACGGTAAAGATCAGCGTGAGGAGCTGTGCCAGCTAAGGAGCTGGCAACCAGTGGGTACAGCAGCTGAGCACACCCCAAGGTGTCTGCCTGAGGGGCACTCACCGGCCTTGCTCTGATCTGCTGTTGGACTTCCTGAACCTTTCTGTACCTCATTGAGACCCACACTCTTTGCCACAGGTCACCCTGACTTGTGCAGGCACGGTGGCACAGGGCAATAAACACCACCTCTTCAGCAAATAAAAAGGCTCCAATGAGGAGGGCTGGCAAGCCCCGGTGAACCCCTGAGGTGCAGGAGATACAGGGATGTGCTACATGTCCTCTCCAAAGGGGAATGTTAATCACTCATGTCCCTTGTGTGAGCCGCTGATGGATTCTGACTCCCTGTTTCATACCCTAGATTCAAAGGGACACTTACTTCTTTTCCTACAGATCGGTGATGCTGTATGTCCAGCACAGCGCTGCTTGGAAGAGGACCTCTGCCGTATTTCTCAAGGCAGAAACTAGCTGCTTGCAGCAACATTTCTTATCCTACATTCTTACTTCACACTGTTTACTAGTCAGGAACACTTACAATCCTGTTTCTTATGATCCAGTTTTCCTTGTCCTGAAAAGAGAAGAATTCTGCGAGTTTTCATTTGCATGGTTCTATTAACGCTGTAATAAAAACCTCTCTGCTGTGTTTTCCAGCAGTGACAATTTGCCTTTGCTAGAGTTAAACCCCATTAATATGCATTTCTGTGCTGCAGTTTGAGACAGTTTCTGAAAAAGGGGTCCCTCTGCAACAGCCTGTAACATTAACATTCAGTAATGGGCAATTGCTTCTTTTCAAGAGCAACTGCTCACCTTAGGCACCCAAACCCATTGCTTTGGTTTCACAAAGGTAAACTATCCAGTGTAACTCTGAAGCCTGACGTGGAAAAAAGGACTTCTATTTTCTGTCCCTCAGGAACAGAGTTATGCTGAGAACGTGTGAGCAGATAACAGCCTAATTCAAAACCTCAGGCCAGATGTCTTCAGAATTATGCTATCACTCAGATTAGTCAAAGCATAAACAAACACTTGTGACTGACGTAGCTACTTCAAATAGGCTGATGCCTCGGTCAGCGCTACTCATTTCGGAACAGGCTGAGAGAAAGCAGAATCAAAATGAAGACGTTTCTTGTGTGTGTCTCCGTTTTGATCCTGATGACCACTTTTACAGGTAGGAGTTTGTATAGAACAAACCTGCATGTGTATGTAGCACAGCAGAGCATGTCATAACTATTAGTTCCACAACCTTGCATTTTACTATCTTCATATTTCAACACCTATTTTTACATTGCAGGCTTTCCATGATTTGATTTTTAACAATGATGCTATTGTATTCCATGTTTTGCTCTCCACATTCATTTCTTGTAAAACCAAAAAGTTTAATATTCCTAGCTTACTATTTTAATATTATTTGCACAAGGTTCTGCAAGCAGAATGTTCAGTGTAAGCTCTCCTTTGCAACAAAAGGCTAACTCATTACTTTGAATATAGTCCTAAACAGTAAAGCAGCACAGAAAAGAACAAAGAACTGGAATCACTAACGCCAGTGATTAGATGGTGCTGCTATATTCTCTCATTTTAGAGTGTAATACGAATATGTAGGGTTTGCTTCATAGAGGTAGAACTAGAGAAAGCACACGCATAAAAACGGTTTAAAATTCCACTCATATCTCCTGGAATGCAACATCCCCCGGGGAAGGGGCTGTAATGAAAGCACACTTTGTATATAGACAAAAATCAGGTTTGGAGAAGTTTCATTTTACAACTGACAGATAAAATGTTAATGTTTTGGTAATTTCAGAGCTAATTTCTACTCTTCTATCTTTAGACACTTCCCCAGTTTTGGCTGGAAAAGATGCCAAACAGATTCTGAGAACTCGCCGTGGAGACAGACCGAGAAAAGCTGGTTTCCCTGATGAGCCAATGAGGGTGATTTATGACTTTCAGTTTTAAATTATATTAACTAAAACCCCCACAACACCAAAAGCCCCAAAACATTTGTGCTTAGTATTAGATTTATAGAGATTTAATTCCAAGCAGTATCTTATGAATATCGCTCTTTTAAGCAGCTGAGTTCTTCTGTGAAATATTACCCCCCCCCCCTTTACATTCTTTCAATTACTGTTAAGCAGCATTCTGCAAGTGCTGAATGTTGCTGAGGAAATGTATGCTTGCAGAATGTGGAAATTATTTATCACGGTTCAAAAAAGTCAATTAAATTATGGAGAAGAAAGTGGCTTTTCATTTATAGAAATGTGGATTTCATCAGGTTGTTTCTGAAGAACTAAATAACAGGAAATGTCTTCTGCTTACAGCACATTCACTCAAGGCAGAAAGGAGATGCAGGTGTCAGTGGTCGGTGTGGAGATTGAGGTAGTTCTCAGCTAGCTTTTAAAATAATTTCTTTCACTTATTTATGGATGCTACAGATAGGATAGTTTGTTATGATATGGTAGGAGTTTTCAGTTGCTAGCTTAAGGCAGCAGCATTGGTACTGCAGGAAATATTTGTATTTATTTCTAAACTGTATTACAAGAAAAGAAAAAGAATTAAAGAACCTTCTGTTATACTTGCTTTGACCAGATGTAATGTATAATTCTGCACTTCTCAAGAGGTACTTAAGGTATTTTAAAATTATTGCCTATTTCGTTCCAAAGTAAATAAACTGTGCTCAAATGACATGGTCCTGAAGAGGCAAAACCCACAGAAGTGAGAAAGCTCACAATAGACGGTGCATGTGTGATGAATACACATGTGGGGCTCAGTTTAGCAAGGTGCTGAACACTTCTGAACTCTGTAGGACATGAGGAGTGCTACGTACCTTGCAGGATTGAGCTCAGTGTGTGCCAGGGTTGTGGAGACGGCTCCTGGGCTTCTCTTTCCAGTGGTTATTGTAGACCAGCCAAAAAGAAGCCACCTGGCCATGTGCCACTCCTGATGCACATGCTTTTTTGTGATAGCACATCATGCTGGTTAACAATCTTGCGCAATGAAGACTGTATAATAGAGCCAAAACCACACAACACTCAGTCTATGGTTTAGTTTTAGGTAGCCCTGTGAAGAGGAGGGAGTTGGACTAAATGACCCTTATGGGTCCCTTCCAATTTCCCTTCCATATTCTGTGGTTCTGTGATTCTAGGTGGGGACTAAAGGGAGCTAGGGCTAGAAAAGTGTTTGATCACTGACCTCTGCTGCTCTGTCCTCACCACTTCCATCCCACCACGATCAGTAGCAAACACTTTTTGAGACATTCCAACCCTCTTTTTATGTCCTTTTTAAAAATTTTCTTTCTATACAGCAATGCTGCCTTTCTGTAAGAAAACCCAAAGAGAAGAGTATTTGTTTTCCTCACTAATTGTAAAGGTTTTCAGTATAAAAACAAATATCTACTTATAGAAAACCTACCCTCCTCCTCCATGAGGAACTCGGGGATTTTCCCTTGTGAATGAAGGTGCATGGCTCCTCTATCCCTGTGCACAGTTGTACCCCTGGCTCTAGGAGAAAACCTGCTTTTGTATGGATTCTTTGTAGCAGAATGAAATGAATGCTGGGATGAACCCACCTCTGTTCATCTATTTTAAGCAGAAGCTGTTTGTACTAGGCCAGATCATGCTGAGTTGGGGAATTTAATTTGCAATTCTTTGTGACACTGTTTGCCTTCCAAGTGCTGTTTCACTCAAAAAGCCTGTTCAGTTACAGACAGCAAGATCTGCCATTTCTGAATATTTTTAAAGTGTCATTTATCTTATCAGCATGTTTTAATCTTATTTTGACTGAGACCCTGCTTTTAATCCTGCAGCATCCTATCAGTTATATAGTTCTGTTCTCCACAAATTCGTAATGCAGTCTTACAGAGGGATTTGAGCCAAGTCTCCCTGTGCTGCCAGGAGAGAAAGCACATTAAAAACCAGGATACTAATGCTTCCTGCTGGCCCCCAGTGTACCAACCCTCTGCTCAGCACAAAGAGCTGGAGCACAGCAGGAATACTTGGCCAGTGCAAAGGGTTTACACTACAGCTTCCAATCCTGCAACACCTACTGTGCAAAGCAGCGGGGGGACCATATATGTGAAAACCTGTACCCAGTGTTCACAGAGCTTGTGAGCCCTCAGGCACTGGGGCTGTAAGTTTTTAAAAGTAAGTTTTGTTCTGGTGCAGGTCTGGTTTTTGGTACACAGCCCACCTCAGTTTGGTAACTCTTTGCTTACACCAACCCCCTATGAATTAGTATGGGAAATGCACATGATTTTATGGCTCACACAAAGACCGGTCATCACTGATGCACGCTACCAACTAGAACCCTTTGGTGTACTGCCATATGATCCTGTCAGGGGTTCATGGTTTTTAATCAGCAGGAATCTATTTTCAAAAGAGGCTACAACAGACCTATCTGTGAGAATCCTTCTGTACCCTCAGGAACAACAGAAGCTTCTGTGCCTCTATGCAAATAAGAAATGTGTATGCAGAATCCCTGATTTATGAATACTGTAAAATTCTTGCTCAACACTTTTACTGATGTCAGTCAGTAAATACTGCTAGGGTGGGGAAGTTGATTGGCATCACCATTTCACTGTATTTGATGATTTTAAGGGGTAAATTACTTGCTCATATGTAAGGTTCATTGGCCTGACATTAGACTTGAGTGTTCACATAATTAAATTACTTTTTCTTGTCTTCCAACAGGAGTACATGCTTTACCTCCAGCGCCTGGAGCAGAGAGCAGAAGAACAATTCCTTGAACACTGGTTGAACCCCCATTGCATCCCACACTGCAACAGGGATCTGGTGCATCCAATCTAATGGTCTTGCCTACCCCACAAATGGTAGATAGATTTATTTTGCAGTGCCTGTTTCTTTCTTTGTAATAAAGGGCAGAGCCACAAACAGGAAGAGGAGAGAATAATCAGTGGCTGGAGGAAGTACCTTGTGCTAAAAGGTGTCTGGCGACAGATTAGTGGCAGGGAACATAAGTGTCCTTGGCATCAACTGTGTCACTGCAGTCTGTTGCTGTTACTAAAACATGGGGTTATCAATTTCTGTACTACATGGATCTAAGTTGGTGACCACAAAACATTCTTAATAATGTTGCTTCAGACTGCTCCTCTTTCTTTCCTGTCTGCTCGTGCTCCTTTTCCAACTCATCTGTTTAAGTCTTGGACTTGTTCACTTAGCTCTCTGGAGGACTGTGGCAGGATATGTAAGATGAAGTCTGACCTGCTAGGAGCTGAGCCTGTTCTGCAGTATTCTCAGCTGAAATAATTTGCTGGCTGCTGACTTTTTAGATGGAATTCACTATTTAGTACACATTCTGGCAAACATTAACATGGAACATTCTCTCAGAGCTTGCATGGATTATTAGTTCTGTGCATGGTTTTCAACATCAGTGTAATAGATGCCATCATTTGCTTTATTGCCTCTGTTTATCACATGCATCATAGAATTTAATGGGAAAATATGTTCCAAAGCACAGCTCAGAAACCAGGCACTACTAACAAGCCAATTGGTGACAAAATGACACATCCCATTAGTACTCCATGCAAACTGGTTTCTGATCTGGTCATCCTTTTTCCTTATGTGTTTTGCATGGAGCATCAGCTTATCGCTACATTAAAAAAACGGGATGCATTGAGGTAAGGAGTATAAAATACAAATAAACTCTTCCAATTACCCAACAGCCAAAATGATGCCAAAAAAGAAGATATACTTACATCTGTAAATGCTTATAACAGGATGAACCTTCCTTCTGACGTTCTTCAAACAGACATGAAATTTGTCAACTGGGATAAATCTGAATCATTGCCATAACAGTGATGCCGTATCACTTACAGTTAACCTTGTAACATGCAAGTTGCAGGTTTAGCTCCTTACTTTCAAAACCAAGTAAAACAGAGACGGTGTCTGTCAGGGCTGATCTGTTTCAAAGACAGAAAGTGTTTCTGCTTAAAATTCTGCTATTTATTTGTATCTGTACATATCTAAATGCCTTTGATGCTGTTGCTAGACTTCAGTGGAGCTCTCTTAGTCCACAATAAGACATAGGTCTGAAACTTATTTAAAAACAAAAACACAAAATTCCCAAACCTTACCCCGAGGAGGCAAGTTGGCAGATTTCAAAACATCTTCCAGCTGAGGCACAGTTGAAAGCTGGCTCGCTGGCTGTTGGAATCCTTTGCTATGGCTGCTCACAGGCGATCGTGAAGAATTCATGTTAGAGAAGTGCTTAAATGATTTGAAGCCCTTTCTGTTATTAGTAATGTCAGTAACATTAGTCATGTTTTTAAATGACATTTTCTTTTCTCTCTGCAGATCTCTTTCTTTCCACAGATCTCTTCATGGCCACTGAAGAGGATATATACCATGATTACGTTAAGGAGGAAAAGATTATTCCTGCATTGTCTATGTGCTCATTGTAGAGCTGAACCTCTGCAATACAGTGCAATCCTAGTGATAGAGCAAAACCTCCAACTATAAATGGAAGTTTTATGTTATAGACCACCATATATTTTCTACCAGTAATGACTGCATATATGAATAAATACATCAAGGGTCTCCCCTAGTATGCCACTTGGAGTACGATGTTCAGCTGCTGAGCCCCCAGCATCAGAACAAAGACCCGTTGAAGCGAGTCCAGAGGAGAGGGACTTTTTACAAGGGCCTATAGGGACAGGCCAAGGGGAATGGCTTTAACCTGACAGAGGGGAGATTGGAATGAGCTCTTAGGCAGAAGCTCTTCCCTGTGAGGGTGCTGAGGCACTGGCACAGGGTGCCCAGAGAAGCTGTGGCTGCCCCATCCCTGATAGTGTTCAAGGCCAGGTTGGACACAGGGGCTTGGAGCAACCTGCTCTAGTGGAAGGTGTCCCTGTCTGTGGCAGTGGGTGAAACTGGATGGGCTTTAAGATCCCTTCCAACCCAAACCATTAGAGGATTCTGAAGTAAGGGCAAGAATAAATCACTGATTAGTGCCAGAGTATGCTTTTTAAGGGTACAACTTCAGACTGTCTGAAGCAGCAGAAACTTAGAGGGAGAGGTTCATAGAAAACTGGAGGTATAACCATGAAAAGAAGGCCAGCTCCCTAACTTTGGAGGAATCCTTAATTACAGTTTTCTAGGTTAAATAACAATATTGTATGAAGACATAACATTTATGCAACACTGATCTATGTTTAATTGCCTGATGACTATTTCATGTATTGTTTCATAATAAAAGCTTGATGCAAACCCATTTTCAGATGATTTTGTTACTTTAGTCTCCCATACAAAAATCACTGGAAGTGAAGCTTATTACGGTGAAGTAGTGAGGAGATGTCAGAGGACTTCCTAGGCTCAGCAGCTGGGAAGGACTATGGAGCGGACTTTACCATTTTGTAGTTTCTCTGCACAGCTTTTCCCTTTCCTTCATAATTCTGCCAGGTCAGGCACATGTATCCAGCCATTTCTGCCTGCATGCCTTTATAACTTCTGCCTTGGTACCGAGTACCTTGTACAATCAGATGGTAAACATATGATACCTGCAAAACAACATGAACAATGTCTTGATGGCTCTTACATGACTGTTATGGTTTGCAGTGGCAACAGAATTAGTTATGAAAGGAACAAAGTAACTTTCAGAGCTCCTCACTGCAGTTGCACTGAGCCTGAGGACTGGTAGCGAAATAAAACAGTTTTATGCATATATATAAGGTAGTTACTGCTGCATCTGATAGAGTGAAACAGTTTGACAGTCCTTCTGGTATACTTTCCTTCCAGTAAGAGAGCTCTCCTAGATGACTCCAAGGAAGTAATTTAAATCTCAAAGCATCAAAGGCTTGCTTTCCCCTGCTGTCAAGATGAAATCACAGATTAAATCTGGGAGGGTAAAAAAGTATCGTCAGGCTGCTATTGTGTACTTCATTCATAATACTCGCAATACATAGATCTCAATTTGCATATCTCTGCTGAAGTTAAAGTCGTTAGGTGAAATCCTGGCTCTGCTTTTTCTTGCACAGTGAAAAGTTCATGCCAAACCCAATTATGCCAACTTTCACGCAGTGAAAGCAGATGTAAGTACTTCTCTGAAATACAAGAACTCCCACCTACTTATATTCAGTCATGAGTTAGATAACTAGTAAGGTTAAATAGTAGCTTCTAGGGCTAACTCAGCAACACAGAGCTAATCCTAAAGCACACACGTGGAATAGACAGTGTTTATTGGCTCTAAGTTTGCTTTTCCGCATCTCATATAGGCATCTCCAAAGGATTATTAAGTCTAACTCACAAGGAGAAAACCAAAAACACAGAAAGGTGAAGTACTTCTAGGTCCCTGTTCCATGTTCTCTTTCACTTTATAAGGGAAAAATCTGTGGTATAGTGTTAATAGTCTTTAGCCTACATTTGTGCCAGGCCACCTGATCTAGTCAATGGGCTAAAGAGCCAACCCATATCTGCACTCAGCTTCAAATCAAAAACTCACCAGTGTTTACAGAATTACAGCACTAAAGCTTCTTTACAAAAGTAAACTCTCTCCTAATAGTACCTACACTTCTGTTCTGTGGTAGAACTGACCATGGAAGTACCTCCTGGTCCATCAAGACAAGAAAAACAGCAGATGCCATATAGGAAAGTTTGAAACATAGAGAATACAGGGAGAAAAAAGTGTAAAGAAAGAGAGAGAGAACAGAAATTATGAGGGTAAAGAAGAAAAACCCAGACTAAAGCCTATCAATCAGTGCCTCTGTAATCCTGAAGAATCCAAGATATTTCTTTTTAATATATTCAGCTCTTCTGCTAGATTTAAGAACCCAAGTCCTCCATTCATACAAATTAATTTGGGCCCTGCAAGTAAACAGAGAATCAACCTTCAGCCTGCCTGAGAGAGACAGAGAAGAGGAGGCCATCACAGCACAGCAAACTTACATTTGCTCAGCACTGGCAAACACTGAAGTCTAAAGAGAGAGGGATGGGACGAGTGTGACTGCTTTAGACTACTGCAATGGATGTAGCACCCCCTCACCCTGCTTATTATACATCTCTGTATGTCCATAACATATCTATAGTGTTTTACATGTGATCCATGGACTAATAGAAGAGCAGCATCTTAGGGTCAGGTATAAATAAATTAACTCAAGCATTTATTATGACTCAGCAATGAAAACACTCATACAGAATTAGCATAAAAAGTTAACACTGCATAAACATCGTATTTATAGCTACAAAAGCTATGTAATAAGCTTTTCTCACAGTCCTTCAGTGTGGCTGTTCTACTGTGTTTTGATTCTTGCCCTTTACTCAGATCTTTCCTTCAAAGCCACGCTGTGCTTGAAATCATCTAAAGGGGAAATAGATCAAGTGTGTTCAAGGTCTATTTGGTCCATGTCTAAAACCTTGGGGAAAAAATGCTAGACTTCTATATATGCATGCAAACCATGGGCTTCCCTATGATAATCTATATGGCATTATGTAATTAGAATTTGCATATGAAAGCCACGAGAGGGCTTAATATAGCTAAAATAAGATGAACAAGCGTTCTGAAAGTTGTATACAGAATGGGAAAGCTAATGGCAAAATAGTTGATTTCAAATGCCTTTACAGAAGAGGATTACAAAAGACTTGGGAAAATCTTTAATCTATGAAGCAGATAAATATATCATTAGCTTTAATTGCTGCCTTGCTCTATATTCAGTGTCTGCTAATTTTGTCTCTTCTCATCTGAAAACTTGCCCACTAGATGCCACTGTTTCTGCGTATAAACGGCACCACAGCTCTCAAAAGCTGTTTGACCCAAACTACTGCATCCCTCCTCCCTGCCCCTTGTTTTTCACCCCTTTTCTTAAAGTGTTCAGCTCAGCTGACTGAAATAGTCACCTCTAAACCTTAAAAACCCCACCAAACATTAAAACTTTAGCAAATGGCCGATTTTTTCCCCCTTGGGATCCAAGACTGCTGTGAACACAGATGCTAGTGTGGAGTCTGCACGGTTATGTGGGTGACATGGTTGAAAGTTTCTACATCGCACATTGGAGTGGTGACATTATACTCTCTGCCATTCAAATGCAGATCTGAAGAAAGGATTTTGTGCGGCTGCAGTTCTTCCCTCTCAGAGTAGGTCCCATTTGATCTATCTCCAGTAACCCCAAAATGTAAGCTGCAGACTAATTGGTAAAAGCATCACTCTTTATGGCATTACATTATCTTACTATATTTATTACCTTTAGCAGATGGAGGGACTAGGTGTTAGGTGCGGTATAAACCTGTACAGACAAGGCAGACTGTGCCTAGGGCCCAAAATGTAGTACCACTTATAGAGTACATAAATAATACCAAATCTAATTTAAATACACAGTAACTCAGGGAAAAGAGACAAAGGCTGGCATTTCTGAAAGCATCAACTTCTTCAGCTAGGCCTAGACTAAAAGATTTTATCACAGACAGATAAATAGTATATGAAGGAGTTATGCTATTGCCACTAAGCAATTTGGCAGTTCAACTAACTGGCTGTTTCTATGAGACTGCCTTACCTTGCAGGAGATCATGCACCAGAAATACTTGGTTATGAGGACTGGAATTTCCAGTCAATCACTTGCTTTATTCAAAATTCACTTGCACAGAGGTGAAGGCAATTGGAAATGCAAAACTCGAACTTGCCAGTTTGTAGTTTAGATGATAGGGTATTTGCCTGCTTCTCATGGGGACTGAAGAGTGTACTCTTCTAGTCACGATGACAGTGCTGCTTCTCTGGAGCATTCTGAAAAGTGAACATCAAAGACAGAGAAAAAGTAAATAACCATAACAATCTGAAATGAAAGAGTGTGTATGGAAATGATTCCTTGCAGTACTTCAGGGCTTTCTTTTTTGCCATAATTGCAGCCTTGTTTTGAATATTGGAACCTCATTTTGAATGAAGGCTTCTGTTATCTGTCTTAATGAATGAATGCATAAATAATGGAGTGAAATTGGATTGATTGAATGTGATCACTGCGGTAGGAATCCAGTTTAGATTCTCAGTAAACGTTCATTTTTTAATGACTGAAGAGATGAGCGTGTACTTTGGGAGGTTATCTGAGCCTTTTATGGTCTAAAAAGGGTAGAAAATCTTGTGAGAACTGTGTGTCCTGAGATGTCTGGTACGTGATTGGAAATGCTGAGTGATCTGTCTCCTTTCTGGCATTTTAATCCTGTTTCAGGTCTGGGGGTAAAGATGTGCACTGAAATGAAAAACAGGAAAAAGCAGAAAACGTTCAATGAACTCTGAGCTAATACAACTCTCCTTGTTCTATCAAACAGGCATGTCCAGCCCAGTGTAAGGCTCAACATGAAACCAGAATTCTGAAGCACCAGCATTATTCCAAATCTCATGCTCCTCTTGGTCCTGCCTGTCTTTTTCAGGATGTTTCAATACGTGATGATGAGTTTAAGTACCACTTCTTTTTCCAGGGAGGATTTGGATCTAAAGATCCATTTGGGCATCTCTTTTTTGCACAGAGCATCGTACACATACCTTTATTAAACTGAGTGAGCCAACATTAAATATAGGAGATCTTGGAGCAAAGACAAAGTGGGGCAGAACATTGCTTCATTTTGAATTTTTCAGAATAAAGAGTAATTACTGAATGGCTTCAGAAATCAATTTAGCAAAATGCTCTAAATGTTCAGAGTATGCTTGGCTTAGACATTTGCTCTTGAACTCTCTTGCCGTGACTATGAATATGTACCCATATAGTGCCTATAAAACTGACACAAGAATCCAGTCTACAAAATGCCTGGATTATCAGATCCATAGCACTTCTACTCTCCAACAGAGCCCAATATTTCACTTAATGCAATCAGGATGTACTTCTCTATACTTCCCATGCACTATATAGGATTAGTTCCAGCATCAGTAATAAACTTCAAGCAGATGAGAAAAATTACTCACACACATAATTATTTGCAGAATATGAGCTTGTCCTGGTTATTTAAGATAAATGGTTCTAGTACATAGATTTACCCGGTTCAATCAGCAGATTGCTCACGTTTTGGTGGGCCCTGTTTTACTTTGGGCCAAAACCAGGCCTAACAGACAAAGCTCAACTACTCTGAGTGTTGTCACAGCCTCTATTGATCAGCTAGAGACACAGTTTAAACTAAACACTGCAGAATGACGGGTTTGCTCCTCTCTGGCTGGGAGGCAATGTCCATAAGATGACTATAGCAGAGCTCACCTACCTCCCAGGAATCTGAGGTGCGATCAGTGATGAGTGATTTAAATAAACAGGGTTGGCTGCATAGCTGCATAGAAAGAAAAGCCAAACATAAACCCAAGCTTTACCAGTAACAGGAATGCAAATGTAAATGTAAATAAAGCATACTTAATAATGAACAATGATGGGATTTATCTGCTCTTTCTAGGTCATGATTGCTTTGATCCTAAAGAAGAGTCTCAAAATAGGCATTCTACCAGTGTCCATTTCTTGTCATGCATTACGAGGGACATGAAGTCTACAAAACTTGTCCCTGAACTCTCTCAAAATCAGATCCTCAGTAATTATGCAGACAGAACAATTGTGTAGCACTGACATGGCCGTTTTCCTGCTCAGACACCCATGTTCATGATACTTTGAACATTTTACTCCTGTGGTTGCAAAGCATCCTGTGCTTATGAAGTTCTGAATTTCACCTGGCAGCGTCTTCATTGCTACGCAGACAGCGGAACATTTGGGATGGAGAATCTTCACCTTCCAATCATGGAGCAATAACATTTTCCTCTACAAGCAAGCCTTGACTAGGATGTGGCAGACCCTTCACAATAACATGGTGGGCTCACCCAGTCTGGCGTAAGCACAGAGCTCTCCCTCCTTGTCCCAGAACCTTCCCACCTGCTTTTTGCACCATTGAAGGATTGTTTCACAAGCACAGCACCAGGCAAGAAGTCTCCATTCCTTGCAGAGCACGCCATGGATCCATTCCCCTAGGAAACCCTCTGCAATCATTGGACATTCATGAGAAGGGTATGTAAACCCACGGGATTTTAAGCAAAGAAGGTAGTTTTGCCTCACACACACACACACATCTGAAATTAATCCAGGCTTACAGCATGGCCTTCCTCTCCATGCTGCCTGTAAGTCATCAGCGGAGCAGGGTTTTCCTGGAAAAGACTGATCAAGGTTCTGGGAAAAAACCCACCAGTATAAAGGAATGACTAACATGGAGTGTCAGCCATGGGAAAAGCTGCAGAAAGGTTTTGTGCTCAATTTATTGGTGCCATGGCACGCACAGGAACAGCGCTGGACTCTTGTCATCTGCAGGGAATGGAACAGTCCATCAAAACAGCTGTTTCTGTAGTCATGGGACAAGACCAGTGCAAGAAATTTACAGGTCCAATGGAAGACCTTAATTTACTGGGAAGTGACAAGGCCTCTGTGGTCAACCTGTGTAAAATTGACTCCTTTACACCTTAGTTACATGCCATTGGATAGTTACTCTAAGCCTGTGGGTATATTTATCATTCATGCAGCATCCCGACCCATCAAAGGGCTCTACTCACAGTAGGATGTTGGATTCCTCACCTTTCTAAAAACAAAACTGCAACGACTTAAAAACCCCTCACACTTTTGAAACGTTCACAAAGCAAATGCTTCCTGAAAGCAACTGACAGGTAGTTAGGGCTAAATAAGGACAGAGTTCTGCACAGCAAACAAAGAATGTCATACTCTTGTTCACACACCAGCTAGACCTGTGGCCAATAACTGTATGTATCAGGAACTGTCTACAGCAGTACTGTGCAGCTGTAGATTTGATTTCTTTCTAGTCTGTAGAAGGTTATCCTATACTGTCCTGTCCTGTATTATCTACTGGTACTATTTTACACTACAGATATCCTGTATTATTGTATGAGTTGCATTTCAAATAGGTGACTGTAGAGGAAACTCTCAGACTGCACAACAGCTGAATACCATGATTCACAGGAATCAGAGGCCTTGAGCCTAAAAAAGAAATAATTTAAAAATAAGATTAAAAAATAAATAGTAAGGGCCTCATTCTGTAAAATACGAGTGAGTCTTGCCCATGGAAGTCTTCCAGTGAATCCCAGCCTTCCACAGGAGTAAAGAGGCTATGATATACGGTACTCACACAGGTTTGTTTCTGTTATCACCAAATACAATTTTGGTAACTCTTAAACATGCTCAATTCCTTGCTAACACAGAAGGGGATGACAGGTTGGTGTTAAGAATACTCTCTGGGATGGATCAAGCCTGAACTGCTACTGGTTATCTCCTAGAGCCTCATGAAGAAATCAGAATCTCCTCTTCCATTTAGGAAACATCGTTCTAGCCCCCATGGACACAAAGAAAAGCTTGAAACATGACTTGGGTACAGCAGATTCTGCCTACAGCCCTAGGGAGGGAGCAGTTCCAAACACAACATACCTTGTCCTTTCCAATTCTGACACTTATTGGCAACTCTAAGGAGGGCCAGGGTAAAGCCTGAAGGCAAGAGCAGCATGGCACACCATGGCAGGCCAGAGCTTGCTTTCATTCAGCCCTGCCATCCAGGCATGTACACTTACTCATTTTCCAATTTGAAAACCACAATTTTAGGCTCACAGGCAACAAACTTCATTTCAAAGCAAATCACATAAATGTAATAGATTTGCATCTGTTTATTTCTATGTATGTATATATCTACAGATATTTTAATGTACTCAAAATGATAGAAATTGAGCTTATGTTTCAGCAGTGGATGGATCTGAACTGCATTTCAGCATCCCAGCAGCAGAAATTAAGGTTTTCAAGAACACTTTCTGCCCAGAGAAATTTGGTTTTAAGTCCTCAACATTTGAGGGCATTTCAGTGATACACAAAGTTTTGTTCACTTCAAATCCACAGCGGGGTGTTAATAGTTGGTATTTTAGATGAGCTATCACAATACCCAAACTTCGTTCTTTTCACTCTTCCCTGTTTATTATTAGATGCTTTAGAGCTGCTCAGGGAAAGAGAGAAAAATGTCTCCTATTTCACACTGCACAGCTGTGGCAGTGCTTGGGAAAAACAGTTTAAATATTAATATGGCTTTGGGCTAACAGCGTTTCTGCAGAGGCCCTTCAGTGCAATGACTTCCAGCAAAGTGAACAGCCACAGAAAGAGTCAAAGACTAAAATCCCTGCAGCTGATAGCAAGCCAATTTCTGTTTTGGTGCATGCCTACAGAACTCATTATGTGTGATTGTATCAGCCACAGCTCTCCAGTCCAGCCTCAGGAAAGAATCGCTCATAGATGGAACAGACTATGGAGTCAGAGTCAGAAATGTCTTCCTTGCCTCACTCCAAGCTTTAAGTGTGAACTGGACCCTCTCATTTCTCTTCTCCACACCAGCTTAAGTGAGCTGGGGATATCTCCATGTGGTTTAAGGAGCTTTTATCAGCTGCACAGCCTCATCCTTGGTAAATTCTGCAGCTGTGGTTAAACTGCCCAGGGAGGTGAAAGCTTTCTTACCCGACACTACCAATGTGTCTAAGGGTGTGTACTGTGGTTGTCTGGACTGCTCTGCCACCGGCCAGCCTGTGTACCGATCATTCCAGCTGCACCTAGAGGTGACTCACCCCACACAGCGTTTCATCCACCCCAGAAAGAAAGAAGGCTTCCCCTCAAACAAAATACTCCAGCAGTACATTTCCAACAGTGCCCTGAACAGAGGGCATTGCTTCCACTTTGGCTGGGATCCATCCTGAGGAGGAATGGTTCTAGCACGGATGACAGACTGGGCTCACTAAGTGTTGCAGCATCACTTACACACTCAGAGTGCTGACGCATCTCCAATTCTGTTTTGAGAAGGAATCATCCTGTATATCTGAAATCCATGGCTGCCAAGCGGTAGGAGGAGGCCATTTCCATCACTTCAGTTGCTCATCTATTTCCTACTTACCAGGATGACAAATGTTGAAGCCACTGAGTTAATTTATTAATTTATTCCCAAGCTTTTAATTCTGCTCCATTTGCATCAGCAGCTTTGCTGTTGAAACTGCACTCTCTCAGGAGTGAAGTGAACAGCACCTGTGGCTCCAGGCTGCCAGCAGCAGGACACACACGTGCCCAGAACAACTCGCTGGAGCAGAGGGAGAAATGGATTACAGCTCAGGGCTACACACAGTAAATCATCAGTACAGAGACCAGCACAGGGACAACAGAAACAGCAAAACGTGCTCTTTTAGAACACGACTCCTAAATTAAACAAGACAAGGAAATGTATGCAATGACAGCAAGGTCACTTTTTCCTTCACTGTTGCTCCAGGCTAAGCCCACACATGTGTCTCATTTATTTTCACCTTTGTGTTTCTGCTGTCTTTATCCTGTAAGAGATGTTACAGAGCATTATCTGTGGAGAAGGACTACAAAAGATGCCAGGTATGTATTAGCTCATGCACTTTTGGGTAATTTCCTTATGTCTGTGGAATCCAGTTATAAAGTGCCGAATGTTCCCCGTTGAAACTCAGGTCCCGTTAACGGCAAGCAGCATACAAACATCTCCCCATATAATGTTGCTATATAGACCAACTTACTGACTCTGGACTGCCCGGGCTGTGTTCACCCGTGGGGTGACAGAGCTGATTAGATGTTGCAAGGGATTGTAGTGGTTACTGAAAATCAGGGAGATCAGCATTTACCACAACATTAGCATGCAGACATTGTTCACTTATTTGCCTCATGACCAGATTTTACCAACGACAAACATCACCTTCTGATCTCCTTTGCTATCACAGGAACAATGAGTGGCATTGCTCAGATTGATTGCGATCAGGCTGGGGTACTTAGCTACTATAAATACATCACTTCAACCATCCTAAAATTTTTAGAGTGGAATAATGAACCAGCAACTAAAGTATCCCAATTCCACTTAAGTTAGCACTGAGAGTTCGCATTAAACTGAAAAGCTCCATAACTGTATATCATTATTTATTAAGAGCCAGACTTTCAATAGAACTTTAAGCTAAAATTAAGATGTAATGCTTCCAAAAATGCAAGTTCACGTTGAGAAACTGTGCATGGCTCAATTACTGGAGAGCCAATCTCCCCAAGCCCTGGAACAAAGCAGTCTGCATGTATGTGGGCATGGAAAACTGCTCCACCAAAGTTCATATAAGGAAAATAGAATCCACTGTTCTAAAAGGAGTGTCATAAAGTTTGATGTGCCTATTTCAAAAGCATTTGGAACAGATATTCCCCCCCTCTGACCAGACAGAAATGTCTTTGCTTCCAGCTTTAATGCCAATTCCAGGGGAAAAAAAAAGGAATTACACTTTCTGGCAATTTGGAGAACATGGGACAAAGTTGGAAGGAGCCCAGGTGGGAAGAAAGCTGAGGGGGATGTGATGGGAGTGAGCTAGGGCTGGAAACAGAAGACCTTTGGCTGCACTTTGATTGAATCAGGTGAGGCCAGCAGGGACAAACATCAGGCTGGTTTCTGAGAGCAGAGTCCCTGCCTCTGCTCTGTGTGGAAACAGTGTCCCCATTTGGCTCTTTGATCCTTCAGCTTAATTCAATCCAGGGACAAATCAGAGTGAAACTGGGTGTGTGCGGGTTCATGTGTGCACACACGTTTGGGGTATGCATGGAAGGATGGATGGAGACAATGGGCGGTGGGTACTGCCCCTCTTCCATGTGCTGCCTGAGCCAGCTCCTGCTCCTGCCACACCTTTCAGGACACACAGAGAGATGATTTTGCAAACCCAAGTGCTTACAGAAGCAGAGATTCCAGTGACAAGAGCTGATCTTTGGGATGCCTGAATCCCTCACAGTTTCACTGCGTGGCTGCAGCGCCAAGGGGTTCCTCATGAACCTGCTTGCTCTGGGGCTGCCCAGCACACTGCTTGGCTGTCAGTCTGTCAGCCCATCAGTCAGTCCACTAACATTGTATGCTTGCCTCAGAACCGCACCAGGTCATCACACCGGGTGATGGCTGTAACCCCCTGGCCTGTGTCACTGCACCAGCCTGAAACACCACAAAACCTGAGCAAAGATTACTGCAAACTTACAGATGACCCCAAAGGAAGTTTCTGTTGCTGGTAACAGGCCAAACCAAACCTGCTTATGGCACAAAATGCTTCCACAGTGAGGCGGTGCCAGACTCGGAGAAGCCCAAGGCAGCATAAAGTATTTCCTCCTGTGCTCTGAGGATCTCTTGGCCCACAGTGGCAGTGCCACAGGGATTATTGTTGGCACAATCCTTACATTCTGCCTCCAGAGCTATTGTCCTGTGCTGACCCGAGAAAGGTTCGTCCTGTCTCATAAGGGGAGAGCAGATGAGTTGGCAGAGAAGGGGCAGCAGATGCCAGTCTGAAGGCACCGTACATCTGCCGCCTTCTTAGGTTTGTCCTTGGGTCACCAACAGGACATGTGTTGTCTCCTCTGTTGAAGCCCCTGAACCTACAAAGAATCACTAGTATGGCAATGTCTGTTGCAGTCCATACCATGAAAAATGAGAGACTGCCACAAATTCCAGGTAGAAATTTCTTTTTTCTGTCCCTAAAACGAGTGTCTCACTCATTTTATACGCAAATGCCAAAAGGCTGTTGCAAAGAAAACCCTTCTGGTGCAGAAGTTTACACGGTTTCATGGTTCTGCAGTTTGATATTGCTTCTACTTCAAGAACTGGGAGCTGTGTTTACAAGAAGAGTGGCTACTTTAAATTAACTGAATGGAATTAATGAGGAAGTGTCTGGTGTAGCTGTGCCTACCTAGCCCCACCGTCTGTGCATCTGTGTTTTGATATATGGCAACAATACAGAAATACTGTATTCTGGGATGTGAAGTGGCTCAGTGGAGGAGGATATAAACCAGATGTGTAACATATCCAGTGAGCACTCAATGTACCTCCGGTGACCTCTCTGGAGATGATACAAATGCAATCTTTTTTGGAGACAAAGAAATAGAAATGAGCTCCAAGAGCAGGGAGGGAACAGACCAGCGCAAGTCAGAGAAATAGAAACCATTTCAAGCTACCAAAAAATAAAAGGAAAACAAGAGCAAGAAAGAGCACATTTCCCCCTAAGTGAAAAAGGAGTTAAGCGTCTTTCCCCTGGGTTTTGAGTCAAACCATGAAGATATTTCTCTGCAGGAACCTCCAGTTTGTTTCACAGAATCTTTTGTTAAATTGTGTGTATGATTTACCTCAGAATGCAGTTACAATAAAGCCTTAATGTCACCCTAAGTTTTATCCTAATAGTGCAAGTGTTTCCCATCGGCCCAGATTTTAGTGGAACGATAGGACTCCTCATGGCAAGTCCCAGCAAACTGATTTTGGAGGTTCCATCTGAAAATAAAACCTCACCTTTTTTTCTCCAATAAGGGATTTTAAGTTGTTAATGGCCATTTTCATTTCTTTTAAACCTGGGCATGTCACTGGATATCAGCCTCTACTGCAGCAGGGGGAATAAATACAGCAAATCAGTGTAAACAGTTTCCACCCAGATTCTGATACCCTGACTGAATGGGCTGGTTTGCAGATACAGTGATATTAACTGCTATCAGGTGTCATGGACTCTCACCCAGTATGACTGAAACAATGGTAGAGGATGAAATCTGTGGTGTAGAGCTGTTCTGTACCAGACAACTGCATTGAGAAGGTGCATATAACCAGCAATAGTGATCACCAGCTCTGTGGTAAAACTGCAACAAGCATGAGCAAATGGAAAACACTGAGCTGGAAGATTTGTGTCTTTCCAGGATGATCCTGCATTTTCTCTTGTTCTGTTACTGGGTTTTGTGCTCCCTTTTGTCAGCACATTCTGCTCTTGTCTTCTTGTCAGCACAGTGTGCTCTTGTCTTGTGCAGATGTGCTGCACACAAGGGCTGTGTACACCACAGCAAAGAAAGTCACTGATGCTACAGAAGTTATTGCTGCCAATGGGTTTGAACCTGCCCACTCTGAGCAGTGGGGATGAGGATTTTTCTTCTATGGCACAGTTTGGGAGCTCTGTCTCTCTTCTCCCACCTTGGCTGCTGGCGCAGCAGGTCCCAGCACTGTCCCTCCCCATTCCCACACAGACGGGTGGGGAACGGGTGGGCTGGGAAGGGGAGCTGAGGAATTCTGGTTTGGCACCCCTCGCGCACCGCGGCAGCCAGGCGGCAAGGAGGGAAGGCAGCCGGAGCCAAGCACAATGCTAACACGGATTGCTTCTTTTGGAAAGGAGGAAACCCAGGAGCCACAACTGAAGCACTGCTCTGCTGTTGGGATAACTCAACTGTGTATATACTGCGTGTTGCCCCAAAGCCTAACAGAACTAGGACAATATTTCACTGGGTTGGGAAAGGATCTTTGGGCTGGGTCTCAGAAGTGAAATGCTCATTGTTTAAATAATTTGGAAAAATATGTTGTTTTAATTTGGTTGACTGGTCTGTGGAAAAGTTTGGGATGGCGCGCACATTGTGGGGAAAAGGCAAAAAATGAGAACAAACAGGAGATGGGAATTAATTTGACATGCTGGGAGCAGGACTGCTGCGGGACTGTAGAAATCACAGGCTGAGAAAGAAGGCAATACAGATAATGTGTTTGCTGCTGAAGAGATGGGCAGAGGATTCCCAGGACAAGGAGTGCCTGGAAACCCCAAGTGTACAGTGGCTACTGGGAAACGGGAAGGTGCTTATAACAGAGGAGCACAGCAGTTACCAAGGGATGTGAGAGGCTCACATCCTAGCTAGTTTCGCTTGTGTGGGTTGGATGCTTCTAGTCTAATCAGGCCGTCATTCAATGGCCCTTTGGGCTGCTACTGAAAAAGTGGTTCTTCCCTTCCCTCTTCCTCCACACACTCATTTCTGTGCTCTCTTACACCAGCACAAGCATTCATGTGGCAGTGCCACCCTCAGAAGCTAACTGAAAAAGAAAAACAAAGCATACAACTAATGGAGCCGATATTCAGCTGGGTCAGGTCTGTTCCAAAGCCGTAGCAACTCTGGTGCCAGATGAGAGTGGGTGAAAAGAGTGACTGGGTGCAGAGGAAGAGGGGGGAGAGGAGTGGAACAACCGCTTTCAGCAGCAGCCAGATTTCTGCCAGATTAAAGTGACCGTGTAACCACAACCTCTTTGAGTACCCCCCTTAATTTCATTTTGGGCATGTGAAGAATCAGCTATTACTGCTACTGAGTTAAGAGCAGCACAAACAGGCTTTTATCATCTGATGGTCTCACATTTGCTGAACTTGTGATGTGCTCTGTGCTCCGCCAGAATTTCTGGGAGGATCTGTGGCGATTATAAGGAAACCCACCTAGGGACAATATCATTCCAGTGTAAGGAGGCTGGTATGTATGCAGCCACTTCAGCAGCTCCGTCTGCTATGAAAGCAAATGAACTCAAGAGCAGACAAGAACTGAGATGTGAAGTTAGAGTATAAATCTGACTGCATAAATTAAAAGGACGGGAATGCAATGGATTTTGAATAGGTTCTTTCACATGACAGTGTTCTCCTGGAATCAGAAAGCAGACATTGCAGCAGAAAAGCTTTACAGTGCTCTGAAATAAATATTAGTATTTCTCCTAGCATAGAGGAGTTAAATGAAGTGGCAAATCAAAACACGTATGTGTATGCATATACATTAGCTAGAGATAGAAAGTGTGGACTGTAGTGAAAAGGGGTCGATACGGAATATTGTCCATAGGGTATTGACAAAACATTGGCTGCATGTTGCAAGTTTCCTACTTTCTCTAAGACATCTTCTTTCTGGGCTAGAACTGGCACATACATGAAGGTCTGAGCGTCCAACTTGGAATTTCAACTTCCCTATGCAATTCCCTGCACATCACTTTATGGAAAGAGTCATGACACTGTGGGGCAATGCTCCCCTCAGTCAGCAGTGAAAGATCCAAGGGGGAACTGGGCTCTTTACAACATTACAACATACACAATATCTCTGCAGATATAACAGAAGCAAAGTAAATTAGGGTGAGTTGAGATCCAATGACTCTCCTACAGGGTGTCCAAGAAGCAGCACGATGGCATTTTAGGTCACTGCAATGACGACACCAAAACCAATGCTGGTTATAGTAGCTCCATGCCTGGGCCACAAGTGACTTAGGGCTATTCATTCAGTTACTATTCACATACCACTATGAAAGTAGCCATATCCCAGAGGGTTTACAGTAAATGTTATTTTTTGCCATTTTCTTCATTTTTTGATTAGGATTTGTATCGTTTATCTGCAAGTCACAGAATCATAGAATTGTTAGAGTTGGAAGGGACCTCAAAGATCATGTAGTTCCAAACCTCCTTTGTAGGCGTTAATTCGATGTTGAGTAACTAAATATTTCAAGCTTCAGTTGTCATAATTTCAGTGATAGCTCTCTTCAAGTTTGTGCTTTCACATTTAATGATTTCAATGTATTTATGAAAGAGTTCTGGACTTTTTTCTTTTCCTTTCAAAACCAGCACAGACCAAAAGGTCTGGAAAACGCAGCAAAATTTGGTTTTCTTGTTAAAACTGAATTCATGACGCACGTCTTCACTGAAATGATACCTCTAATTCCATATATGATGACATTGGGTAAATTATATTTCTGGTGCTAATAGGCTTTGATTACAGCTTCTTTCCCCGCAGGCAATTACTTCTGAAGCATTAACAACTTCCTCTCTCAGCTGGCCAGCTCTTCTCTTACTCTCCTCATCCAAAGCCTGCCGAGGTTGGTTTCCAGCCCTTTGACTCAGACGCACTATCCATGTCTCCTGATCTCCTGTGAGACTGGGAATTACTCACCCTCTGTCTTATTAAATTTCAGCTGGCCTTGGCGATTGGCCTGCTCCAAGGGTTGCCCTGTCAGGATGCTTATTTACCTTCACCAAAACACCAGAAAGTCGTTTAAACTGAAAACATACCAGTGAGGAGGTGCACGCCAAGCATTCCAGCATCCTAAATGAAAATAATGATTTAGAAGAAAAAATACCAAACGCTGCTGCAGTTTGGGGTGTCTCTGCCATCAGTAAAGGATCCAGCCAGTCATTTCGTTCAAAACAAAACACAGAGCCTTTCTCCATACCCTCCCTGATCAGACCACCAAAGCACTTCGCATCTCCCTTCTGCTCACCAAATATTTTTATGATTTTCCACAAGAAACAGCCAGGCCAAACGCGCACAACCACTGCGAGGGGCCGGGAGAACATCGTGTCTCCAGACACCGGGAAAACAAAATAAATCACGACAGGAACAACATTTTATACGGCTTGTTTTTTAAATGATGGTTTGCTATAAGGAAATGATGATCAGAAGCGTGAACTGAGCTGAGGAGCGAGCAGCTCTTCCTGCCTTAGATCTTGGAGCACTGTTATTATCAGGAAAAAGCAATCTTCAGAAGCAGCCAAGAGGTTTAAGAGCACCAGCCATGGTGTTTAGAAACCCTTTCCCTTTAAGATCAGAATGTTATTAATATAGACTGTCTATGCTAATAAATAACATTCGCGATTTTAACAGTGAGGGCAGTTCATCACTGTGGTATCTTATCTAGGGATGAACAAGATTCCTGTTACTTACAGTCTTTAACTCAAGACTTGGCGTGCGTCTGTGTGTCATGCTGCGATGTAAAGCAGAGACATGAGAGCCATTTTGAAACCACCTAGCTCCCACAGTAATGTGAGGCTAGCAGCAGAAAGCAGGGTTAGTACAAACTGATTAGGCCAATTTAACCAGCTTTCTGGTAAATGACCCCATTCAGTTCAGCTGGAGTGCCCTCTGTCCCCACCAGCTTATTTGAAGTTACCCAGTGTATCTTTACTCTTCCTGTGGTCTCCAGTGTAGATGTGACACTGCTACCTTTCTATCTGAAGTATTAAAGCTCAGATAGATACACACTGGATGATGCTCGTGGCCTGGTAGCCAGTCCCTCTCTAAAGAGCGTGCAGATAAAATACAAACACTATAACTGAGATCACTCAGCAACATGGGTAAGAAAGGTCTTCCTCTGGGACCGGGTGGCTTTGGTCCTCTCTGACCCCCTGCTCTTGCTTGTGAACCTCAGACTATGTGGGGAGTTAAGTACTGGGACCTTCCTGGTTTGCATTGTTGTCAAGAGTCACACAGAAGCAGCTCTCTGAAAGCAGTAAGATGCACCCATGTAAGCATTTGATGCCTTATTGCACTTCCACCCTAACCTGAGTGTTAACCACTACCTTTCTACCTGTATTCCCTCCCCATAAGGCAGAACAAACCCCTATATCAGTATCTGTTTCTATTATTAAACTGGATATTCCCCTCCCAGCACTTCTGGTCTCCTAACATTTGTCCTTGGCTACCCTTAACAAATCTGCATGGGGAAAGGTTCCTGCCTCTACTGCATGGGGCTGATCGTGCCTCGCTGGCACAGCAGGCGCTTCGTGAGTGGCAACATTTCAATCCCACTTTATGCTTTGCCACCAGAAAGCCAGGCACACGCACTGCAATGCTGCCCGTGCATTACCACAGTGTCTTCTATAAGAAAACATGGATCTCTGCCACTAGACAGACACAGAAACTAGTAAGCTATTCCCTGCATTCCTCTATCCCCCTGGGCAGCCTGTGTAAGGGAAGCCATTGATGCCTGCCATCAGATAGACACACAGACTAGTAATAAAATACCCATGATTCACTGCATTTTTATTCCTTAGGGTGCTTCTGAAGAGGGAGCTACTGATTTCTTACTTATGTTTAAATGATTTGTGAAGGGAAAAAAACTTCTATTTTATAGCCCCTGCCTTTAGGCATAGGGGAAACTGTTTTCTGTGAGTTCTTCGTTCTGTTTGATAGACAGCTTTCCTCCGCTTACCAATCGCCACTTTGTAAGTTTTTAGGAAGCTAAAGTTTTCCCTAATCTTGTAATTTTAATCAGTTAAAAGTTGCTATCTATTGGGGGTAGCATCAAACCCCTCCAGTCTCTGCATTTACTCATTTTAGTGTGACATCTTCCAGCTTGAAGAACATGATCTTCAATGCCTCATCATTTATAACACCATAGCCCCCTCAAGTGCATGCAATTACATGATAGTGCTCTACCATCATGTAAAAGGCAAATAAGGTGAAGAGAAACAAACATGCCAAATAGTTTTCCCTGAAGTCACACAGAAAACCAGGCAGAGCCAGGCAGAAACCAGGTTCTCTGGATCTCTGGTCACTAGACACGCTGCCTTTCAGACCTTGCCTAGCCCCTGGGTATGGGGAGCCCCAGCATGTGTATGTGAATTATCAGGGAATAACAGCCAGGATCTACTCCACCTACCAGCTCTGTGCTAGGGGAGGCCACAATGGTCCCCTTTGTCCTTTGGAAGCAAGAGGACTTGCAGGTTCTGCCCTTAGCCAGGGATGGGTTTGGGCACTGTAGAGATAGGCATAGCACAGCAACCTAAGATAGAGGCCTCCATGTTCAGCCAACAAGGGGAATCCTATCCCCAAGACAGACTGGAGCCACATCATTGCCTAACGCTCTAGAAAGCACAACATCCCCTGGAACTCCCCACGGCAGGGCCCTCACCACAGGGCATATTTTGGCAAGTGGTGTGAATATGGCCCTTCTTCACCATTTCCTTTCCATATTAGTCACATTTAGTCTTACCTCTGGAAGCCTAGCATAAGTGCTGTGTCTGGTCAGGGAGAAAGCAAGCACAGCATTTTCTGTAGGCAAGCATCCACAGCTCAAAACCACCTAATAATACGTCTCAGTTCTTCCTGACTTGGTAGTGTCTGCATTGAAGAGGCCAAGGTTTGGAAGGGAAGGAATTGGCCAGGACAAAAGTGCATTGGCAGAGCTCTGTAGAGGCACTCACGCAAATCCTGCCCACACTACAACTGGATCCGTCCAGGGCTTTCATGATCACTGGATGTGCCAATCTGTTTTTAAAAGCAAACAATTAATAAAGGGAGAGAAAAAAAATGAACTAACTGCTTGGCCTGAAGCTTGTTGCTACTCAAGAACTTCCCACATTGTGCTAAGTGAAAGTAAAGCGTCATGTGTACTCTTTTGGGGTCCAATTCACACCCAAGTTTTTGACCTCAGCAACGTCTGTTCTTCCAGGGATGCTCAAATGCTCAGCTGTGGCTGGTGAGCTCCTGAAGTCGGCTGGCCCAAACAAGCAGAGTTCAAGGCTGAGCTGGCTGAGAAGTAGGTTGATTCTGTGCATTTCTCAGGGAAAGGCTGCTGCGAGAGTCCTTCAGGAACCCAAGCTGGAAAACAAAGCTGTTGCTCATGTAGGGAAGTCCTGAACATCAGCAGTGGTGTGGCAGCTTGCAGCAAGGGAAACACCTCCACCTGGATCTGCACATGTGGAACTCACTTTCCACTTGATATCCACTGCTGCCACTGCTCCTGCAGAGTTAAACAGCAGCCCTGAAACCTGCATCTGCAGCACAGGGTGCAAGGAGGAAGCTTATAGGATTGGCATGATGCCACTTGCAGCGAACATCCAGACTCCAGCTCTGCCAGTCTGTCTTTTACCAACCATTAAACCCTCTTTATTTGACTTAATTGAATTATTTTATTTCAGTTAATCCATAGACTAACCTACAAACCACCTGTGCCATCCTTGCCTTTTCCTGTTGTCTAGAAGGTTTTGTGTTTCCTCCTTGAGAAGATAGCCTAAATCTTCATCTGAGTAGTTTGCACACAAAGAGAGATCTTACTCAGAGGACCTGCTTTTAGGACTGAGACATACTGCAGATGCAATAACTGCATATGGGGTTTTCCTGGTGAAGGTGAAGATACAAAGAATGGAGTAAAGAATTCAACATCCCAAAAATGTCAAATATCAGAAATATTTCTTCCATAACAAAACACTGCTTGAAGCAACTAACAGCATCATTGCCAACTCTTTACTCTCATGTAACTTGAGTGGGAACAGCCTTATTTGCACAAGGCAGGATCAGTTTGTCTTTATGGGAACTGCAATCTCCTCAAGACAACCTCTTAAGTGCAGATTATTAATTCAAGGTAAAAATCTAGACTCATCCAAGAGACACAGAGACTGCCTGAAGCAGAGGTACAGGCTCTGGAAGGAGCAGCTAAACACCTCATTAACTGCGCCTCATGCCGTTTAGTCTGAGTGACTGAGTATTTCCAACACAATTGAAGCTGTGGTTCTCTGAATTAATGTTATTTTTAATAAAAGGAGGCGTTAAGTTGCCTTCTTTAGTGAGCATTGTGGAATGTTTCTAACTTCCCCACCAGACATGGCTGCGTTTGACTGATATTTGTGAGGCACTTGGAGAAGAAATGTGCTATATAAAATTAGAGATTATGCCAAACCTCAGTGTTGGATTAATACGCCTGTGTGAATTTAGAGGATGAAAAGCCACCTTCCATTCAATGGCAAGGTGTCAAATTCCATGTTAGTGTAAACTGATGCAGACAGTTCATTATAAAAAAAGTCATTCCAATTGTACTGACAAAGAATCTGACCCTGGTCCATTTACTTGAAATGAAGCAACCAAAATCCTGGGTCTGAACGTGCCAGAAGTTTGTATTAAAACTGACATGTAAAGCCCAGCTTTGCTTTTTGGGCCTTTTTTAAATGAATCTTCGTATAGTGTTGATATACACTATGCGGATTGAAGCAAATACTAGCAAAGAAGTCACAAATAGGCAGAAAGATGCTTTATAAATTATAGAATTTTAAGGTTATTAGATTTCTTCATACATTTTGTATGTTCACCTGAAATCGCAGAGCAAGCGCCTCTGCTAGTTCAAAGCAAGAATAAGTTTCTGTTCAAAACTAAGGAATGAATTGTGTGTCCTCTCAACCTCTCTCCATCCCTCCCACGATGTGGTAAATTGGGAAAACTCGCTCTCTGCTAGTGCATGAAATGAGGACACTGCAGCCCAGTCCAACAGCATCTTTGAACACGAGAGAGCCAAACACTGCAGCTGCAGTAGTATCTCCAGCCAGATCCCTACTGCTCCGGAGGACACAGCAATGCAGATTACACCAAACACATCCGCAGGACCATTTTCAAAGCGGTTTCAGGGCCTCGCTGGGAGATTTTGGCTGGCTAAATTAGCAAAATGCAGAGCATACGTTAGGTCTGTGACTGTAGTTAATGAGTGCTTTGTTTTATTAGATGAATTGGTAAGGAGGGTCATTTTCTATTACATCTTTCCCAGTAGAGTAAAATATCCACCACTGAAAACAGCCATAGGCAATCCAGTATTTTTATATTACCCATGTAAGTTGCTCCTTGCAAATAATGAGCACTCCTACCCAAGCGCTGCTCAGAAGAATAAATGACTAACCAGATTTTATCAGGACACAAGCTAAATTCAATGATTTATGAAGAAATCTTGGTCCCGTCTAATGGAATTTTCCCAAAATAAATTCATGTAAACAACTTGCCACAAAGAGGCAGTCAGTGCTGGCTGGTATGTGTAAACAGCTCTAACAGTTGAGAATATAATCTCCCTGACTGCTGGGTAGTCTGGGGAGATTCATGCAGAGTCTCCGTTCAGAAAACCACCTTTGGCTCTGATCCTCCTGACATCATAATGCCGCCCGTTTCATTCGCTTTTAGTCAATGTTACTGTCATCATAGATGGGGGAATCATTTTGCCTCTCAAAGCCAACACATGTATTTTTATAGTCCTCATCAGAGTCCCAGGATGAGAGTCACAGGGAAGATGAGTGGGA